CATGGTTGACAGTAGAGTCCTGCACAGCTACATCCAGACTAAACAGGGTTACTTTCCCAAGGGTGTGCTACAGAAACATGAAGTTGTTGTCCAGGAAACAACACTGGATGTTCTCTCCTGGATTTGATTAGGGTATTGAAATAGGATAGGGAATCTTGGCCACTATTGGTACTGTGAAATCCATAATGCAATTCTTTAACAGGAATTCTGGATTTCTTGTACATTCACACAGTGTCAGTTGGAAGAACAAAACATATACATAAGTTTGAAGTGAAATAAAAACCCTTATTGCTTGATCTCTTTGTTCACAGAGTCTGAATTTAGTTTTTCACTAAGAAGCTTGAATTATACTGAATCAGAAAACTTTCATTTCATTGTATTGCAATGGGAAATTCTAAGGATATTTCATTATCTACGGAAATATTCATATAACATTAGGAAACTGGTATCTTTTAATCTTAAAAGAAACTGTAATGACAATTTTGAGTGTTTTCTATTTTTAGCAAAGCTTTTACAGAAAAGGAATGTGTGAAGAATGAGAAAGGGCAACTACAGTTGGAAAAAGACAACTGATAATAGAAAAAGTTTCTTCAATGTTGAATGTTACTTTATCTTGACTGGGCAAAATTACTCTAAAATAACTGGAGAAGGAATGACTGAACTTTGAGATGGTGATAGAAGTATATCTACCAATTTTTTATTCTGTAAAGGAGTTCATGATCTAGTGAGCAGAACTGAAATTACAGTCAAAATTTTAGTCTTTTTTGGGAGTAGATGAGGGATGTTTTGAAAGCATCATAAAGCCTACTCAGTAATTTCAAGCAAGTTATCAGCTCAGATAGTTCTGATCTCAGCTCTTCAGTTCAACCAGGATATTTTGCTTGTTTTTCTGGAGGGCTCTGTGAACAGGTAAATATTTTCGCTTTAACACAACAGTGACTTATTTTTTCTTTTCTCTTTTCTTTGCAGTGATTCTATTCTGTATGGCAGCCCTAATATTTCCAATAGGATTTTACATCAATGAAGTTGGAGGTCAACCATATAAATTACCCAATAACACAGTGGTTGGGTCTTCGTATGTACTGTTTGTCTTATCCATTTTCTTTACAATAGTGGGACTTCTATTTGCTGGCAAAGTTTGTTTACCTGGCTGATGAATGTCTGGACTGCAGGACTTTATATTGGAAAAGAATAAGACATCAGAATTGCATTCTCAGGAGGATGCCTAAATCGGACTATCAAACACTGACTGAAAAGAGGAATGCTTTGACTTGTTCTCACTATGCACTTTGGATGAAAAAAAGGAGAGCCTTTCCCATAACCAAATACAGACCACGCTGACTAATCTCCTGAGCATACTTCAATGCAGTCAGGTCTGCACTGTGATAGGAACTAGTGAAGAATACTTTACACTGAGAAGCATAACACCCCATGTTACTGGACTGTTCCTGTTTTTAACGTCTAACAATTTGGAAGTCAAAGTATTTATGAACTTTGTGGTGAACCAGAGGGTTGCAGAGGAATTCAAGTGAGGCTGGCCTCGCTGTTTAGGAGATTAGTTGTTTTACATCTTCCTTCTGATGAGCAAAGCCTTTGGCACCAATGTGGATCAATCTTGCATTACTGCACCAAGAAGCCAATAGATCAAAACATGTTCTCTCAATGTATGTAACAGCAAAAAGACATACATGCCCTGCTCCCCCATAAGCTCTAGGAAACACTAAGGAACGCTTTAGAGGGGGATTTCGTCCTTATATTTATATAAATATATATATAAATATATATATATTTTGCTGATGCAGTATACAGTGTGTGTGTATGTATGTGAGTGTGTATATACACATATGTATATATATGTATATACACACAAATGGTTCCTGGAAAAGAACTCAGAATGCTTTGCTAGCAAAACACTGTGGTGTGCAAAACTAGAACTCAATAGAGAAAAGCCATTTTTCTGAAGGCCACATAGCTGAGAGTCTTCAGTTTACCTCATTCTTTGTAGCAGCCCTTGATTTTAACAGTTTTTTGTAATAGGTACAAACAATCCCATGCCTTTCTAGGTGCAATTTTAAGTTAAGCTAAAATTCTTTTTATGGTAATTTATTTGTATATGAGGGTTGAAGGTGAGATCATGTCATACCTTAAAATCCTAATTTTGGGAAACTGACACTATTTAAATTATTAGCAACTGTTGTACAGAAAATCTCTTTTTCTACTGCTTTGTTACATTACCATTCATACATGTTCAAGCACAGCATTTTACCATAGGTAAGCATTTCTCTAGCACATACAAAATGCAATGTTTAAAGTAATGCAAACACTATTCCTCTGCGAAGGTGGATGAACTTATTTTCAGCTGAGTATTAATTCATCTTTGCCAAAAAAATACAACGAGCAATATAATTGTTAAAAGTATATGCCTTGTTTACTAAAGTTGTTATTTTAAACATAGATTTAATGACCACCCAAATTTTAAGTACATATTCCTCACTAAAATAATTTTTATTTTTCAATACAAAGATAAACCATTGATGCCAGAGACATCTTAATTCACTACTAGGTTGGTGTTCCGGGGAAGCTGCCTGCACTATCAGTATTTGTTTTCCAGTTAATACATAGTTTACCTGAGATTCATTCTGAAAACAAAAAAATTGTCTGTTTTGGGCACCATTTCATTGAGCTTACTGGAGGAACTGCATTAATGAATAGACAGCCATTTTAGGATGAGATCTATATTAAAATAAAACCAGCAGTTTCCAAAATAATCACCAGATAAACTGGAGTGTTTTAAAATAACACAGTTTGCACAATTATGTTAAACTCTGTGCCATTCAGACCACAATGGGTCCCTGCCTTTCTCCATTCTTCCTTCTCCCCTTCCCAAGGTATTTTAATACAAAAAGGTTATTTGTTGGTTTATATTTTCTTTTGAAATTTTTGACCAAACTTGCCACTGGAATGGTTTCTAAGTAATTTTTTTTTCCCAGTCAGCTCATTCACAGGTAGAATGGAATGTTTATGGATCACTTAATTTTTCCAAAATATACTAATCTATAAATACAGCCAAGCACTTGGAAATCATGGTCTAAATATAATTTGGTTCCTGATTTAAACCTTCATCTGCATGGGCAATCTGAAGCCCTAGACTAGAGGCCCCTAGTGATAGTGGTGGAGGTAAAAGGCAGGGTTCAGCTGCTTGATATGTATCAAAATTTTGGTGTTATCACTACTGTGTCCTAACATAAAGTATTCACTAAAACTTGGATTATAAATTACATTTTCAGAAATGTTACACTTGTAAATAGTTCAAGATTTTTGTAACTGGAACACAGCTGGGGGGTGGGGAGAGTTTCTCAGCTGCTAAGATTTCTTTCCCTTCCCACCCCTCCAACTTACTTATTTCAGTTATTGTAACATCATGTGGATTTAGGCTTTGATTAAATGGATCACAATAATAGTTTTTAAAAAACAACAACAGAAAAAACCCCACTTATCTTGGAGCATACCCAGACTGTGGTTGGCTGACTGGAAATTGATCTGATCTGCCAGTGCTATTGCTATGAATTATTAAATGTTAGCAAAGGTTTAACAAATAGATTTATTAAATATTTGAGCGTTTCAAGTCCAGAAATAGATGCAGTCAAATGCATTTAAAAAAACCCAACCCAGTAATTGAAGAGACAGCTGTCAACAGTTGCTTTTAATAAAGTCACTAAGTACTATATAGTACAGTATTAATTTATAGCAGAAAAATCATATCTTGTAAACTGTATATAAAACACTGTTTTATGGTGCAATCATTTGTCAAACTTAATGTCTGTTACTTTTGTTTTAAAGTTGTGTGCATTCTTTTCATACCTAAGAGCATCACTGTAAAATCTGCTGAAGACTATTTATAGGTTTTATTTGCACAAGGTTTTGTTTTGAGCTACAGGAAGTTCGTATTGAACATGCCTAAACATCTGTAGACTTTTTCAATTCATGAAAAACAAATGTTTCCATATGAATCTTCTCCAAAGGTAATCCCATATTTGTGTTGAGTGTTTACATAAACTTTTCTGATTCTGCCAGCCATTATTTTTTAATTTTTTGAAGGACAGCTCATTTCATACATCACTAGAGAATTCCATTTATTTTTTTGCTTCTACATCCTCCCAAAGGTTTGATGACCCATCATAATGTAATTTGTGCACACTTTGTCATTTCTTTGGCTAACAAAATGTAAGACTGGAAACTGACAGTACTTTCAGAAAGAAAAAACTAGTAAATTGTCTATATAAATATTACCATGGAGCTCCGTTGAAATAATCGCCTGGAAGCTGTTTGGCTCAGACCTGGGGAGGGTGTGCTTCGCAGAACACACCAGCCTAACCATTTAACGTGGTTTTTCTGCTGTTAATCCAGCTGGAGAGCGATGCCAGTGTCCCAAAGCACAGTGTGCCACACTCCCAGCCCGGCCTCTGGCTCAGGGTGATGCCGCCAGAGCCGGGCCCTCCTGCCGTCCCTGTGTTTCCGAGACGCTGTTTAACCACTCCAGAACACGACTGTAGGTTCCTGTTTGCCCCGACACACACACACACACACACACACACACACACACACACACATGGGAAAATGAAAGCTGTCCTTTAAAACCTTTGTGAAGGATGAAAATAATGAAGGAAATGGTGTCTGCATGTGGGCTGTCCTGCCTGGGCCTGAAGCTGGGCCCACCGCCTGAGCCCGCCGGCCTTTACTGAGGGTTGTTTTCTATTGGTTAGAGCATTTTTTCAATTAATGATTTCCGAACAAATGTTAATATTGTATAAAATGAACATAATTTTCTTCACTTGTATTTTTGTTATTGAGCAAGTTTATCAAAATAAATTGTCTACTAAAGCGACTGGCTCCGGCTGCACTGACTGGAACCGACCCCGCCCCCACCTNCTCCACCGGCAACGCCGCAACAGCAGGCGGGGATCAGGCTGGGTCCCGCCGCACCCGGTCCCGCACGAGGGAAGGGTCGGGAGGTGCTGAGGGGGTTTGGGGAGACGCTGTCACTGGTGCGGTGCCCAGGGAGGGAGAGCCTTTCCCCCGTCAGGTGAGTCTCAGCGGACGGGACCGAGCGGCGCGGGGTCGGAGGAGCCGAGGGGGTCTCTCCCCGGCGGGGTGAGGTGAGCCTCGGGCACGGGACAGCGTGGGGTCGGGAGCCCGGGGCTTTTCCCCCGTGAGGTGAGGAGGGTCTCGGGGACGGGACACCCTGCGCTGACACCCTCTGTGTGCCGAAGGGCCCGGGTTGCCCGGGCCGGGGGGAGGCGGTGGAGCCCAGCCAAGGGAAAACCGGGAATTAATGGTTCTTGCTTGGCTGTACAGCGCCTAAAGCCGAGGACAGCTCGCCCACCCGCTGCCAGCCCGGCTGGCTCAGCTCCCGCCGCCGCTCCGGGGTTTGCTGTGGTTAATCTCTTTTTTCTGGTTGAGCTCTGTAGCCGGTCTCCCAGCAGCTGTGCACACATATAATTAACTGTATAAAATCCCTTAACGAACAGTTCCTGCAGAATAGTTCCTAAATATGTTTTCTGTACATGGATAATTATAACTTCTCTTTATTTTTTAGTTTGCTGTTGTCCCACATACAATATAAATTATCATTTAAGTTGCTGACAATATTAATACCTTTCTAATAGTGTTTATTCCTGAGGATTTTAACTTTTTTGCTCTAATATCTTTTTACTTCTATTTTTAACAAGGCTAAGTGTATTCATGTACTGGATAAACACATCAGGAAAATGGCATGGTTGTTGGACAGTGATCAGTATTTGGAAAAAATTGGGTGAGGAAACTTACAAAACCTAGTTGAGACTTCAAATGTAGATAGAAAATATAATTCATATAAAGTATATACTATATCTCTTCAAAACATCATATATTAAATTGATGCTTAAACAACTGTCTAAGTATAGAACAATTCCTGCAGAAAAAACTTGAAATTACTTTATGACAACACAGGAATATTAGAGGTAATGAATTGTTCTCATAAAATAATTGTCTTGTAGGTTGACAAAATTCCATCGGCAGGGTGATGATCCACCACAGCAAGATTCTGCTGTGCCTCAGCTAGGATCAGATAATGGATTGCTGGGAGCACATAGCAGCAAGACACAAGATGTGCTGGTAGGCGAGTTTTCCTACAAAATGGAGCAACTAGTACAGCATATATAAATTCACAGTGGGGAATAAATAAACTGATAGACAACTAATATGCTTCCTTACATACATTTGCATGTATACAAAGACAGTTTGATAGATGTGATCACTCATGTAATGAAATTGCATGTTCTGCATCTCTGCAGAGATGAATCTGAGAACAAATTGGGCAAAACAGTAAATGTGATCAACTGTTGATACTGCTTTTTCCCTCCAGAAGGCAGAAGCCAATATATATCAGTTCAAACTCTGAATTGTGTTTGGGAGATGCTTATTTTTATTCATCTCTGGTACATAACTGGGGTATTTATTTTAATTCTTCTCTTGAACTCTCCTATTTCTTGTCTTCATTCCTGTCTGTTCTAAACTATGCTCTTTTTTCCCTTCCTTTAGCTCACAGTCTGGGGGTATTGTGAAAACTCCTTTTCCTTTGTATCACACATTCAAAAGATTATTCCAGCACATAAAATTATGTTCTTGGACATGCACTGCATAGCAGAAACTCTCCTGAGGACTTACATTTTTGTCACATTTAGACGGCACATTTAATTTCTCATACTGCATGTAATTTTTTCTCACTTGATCTGTAGAGAGGACAAATGAAGAAAACACAGTCTCAAAAGGTGCAAACAACGGAAGAATGGATAAGAAACTACAGTTTGGAATCCTTGCAGTTAACAATAGAATATCTGGTAAATGAGGGCAATATTACTTTGTAAATACAACACTGCCTTTTCTCTAGTCAGTCTTAACTTGTGTGTATCTCTGATGTTAACCATGCATAGTGCTCCAAGAATTCAGGAAATGGTGGTGAAGAGATGGTGTTTACAGAGGAGACTGTTACTGATTTTGAATGCAGACTTGCTGAGTAAGTATCCATCTTCTTTACTGTTTGACGTGTAACTGATTCTGTATCACCATTTCTGCAGGCACTGCCTTAAATCTTAATTTGTCTCTGTGCACCTCAGAGTATCTCAACATTAAATCCTTTCTGCTGAGATTTAGAGTAAGGGATAATTGTATGTCACTACAGCTGAGGTTTGGGTTGTTTTAAGGAAGATGCTTATCAACCAGGTGTTGATGTGAAGCATTTTGCTCATTTTAGAAAGGCAGCCAGTGCATGCTCAGGTTTTCAAATGTAACACTGTGTAGTTGGGGGTTATACTTAATGTAACTTGGATTACCTTCAAGTCATGGATGCAGTCATGACATGGAAGTTTAAAGTATTCTAAGGGAATTTTAAATGTATAAAATCAAGAGAATGTAAATAATTTAATTTATAGATTAAATAATCTATAGAATATTCTTCACAATTTATAAAGAGTGCTACCATTTCAGCATACCTCACTGTGTCAGGCTTTTATAAAACAGAAGCAGCTTTTGTGTTTTGAAAAAGCAAAATGGATTTTCTTCTTTAAAATGTTGGCTTAAACTTTCTGTTTGCCAACTTGTAGACACTATATGCATGGAATTAAAAATCCATTGGTTAAAGTAAAACTATCTGAGAGGACAGGAAGCATTTTGCTTTACCTGGTTGTTACTGGTTTATCAGGTTTTAACTATTTTGATATTAAACTGTTGGAAGTTGTTCTGCTTTAGGGAAAGATGTATGTAATTGGTTAGCCCTACAACCACCAATTGTGTAAGTTCATATTTAGCACATTTTAAAATGCCTGTTTCTCACAGATTTTGCATCTGTGAGAAAAGGGACGTGATGAAGACAGGTGGTCAATTGTTACATTGAAACCCAGTGTGAGAGAATGCTAAATGTGTGCTCTGCCTTTTGTCAGAGTGATTGAACTCTATCAGCACCGAATTCAGTGGCTCTTGCAGGACAGCAGAAAGGTAACTTGGACTTTGCAGTATATTTTTGAATGAAATGCTATATGGCATTAAAGACTAAATAAACTTTTGAATACTAGTGAAAAGTATATCCCAGGAAGCCTTTGTATTTTCATTATTTACTACAAGTTCCATATCATATGCAGTGATGTTGACAGTGTATTGTTTTTTCTGACCTCTTATTGGTATGCAGTTTTCTGCTTTCTAGATTTAGTCTTTTCCTTTCTCTTTGCAGTCTTAGTCGTCAGGTCCTCTCAGCACAATTTAAATGGGAGCAGATAATGCTGAACTTAACCTCTTCCTGGAGTGGAGCTGTCTTGTAGTTCATTGTGCCCACTCTTGCACAGCTGCTTCGTCACACTGCGCCTGGCAGTGCTAATGCTCAGTAACTCCTTGAAGGGAATGAGGAAAGCAGCATTCCAAAATCTGATTTCCACAAAGTTGCTTGATTTCGCTGAAGGGGACAAAGTTATTTTTTATTTATCCTCTTAATCAAGGAATAAGCTGTCTTGGGAAGAAGGTAATATGATTCACTGGTAAAGATTAACTGGGAGCCAGTAGGACTCTCTTTTTTCCTTCTTCTTTTCCTCCTTGGCCTGGTCACCATGTCATCTTCATGCTAAAACATTTAAAATTAAAATAAATACCTTATACTTGGTTTTAAAATAGTATTGTACAGAATAAATAGTAAAATTATTGAACTGTAGATAGCTAATATTTACAGTGACTTTTCTAAGGTGTTCGGTGTTATAAAAGGAACTAAAGTTGGACTTTTGGTTGATGTGTCTCATTTGAGTTATGGACCTAGACTACTGGATTTTCAGAAGAACCTTTTGGTAAGTAATAATAAAGCAAATTTTGCCAATTTCAGCATACTAATCAAGCTTTTGTGAAACTAGAAGCCAGGAACCAAATAGAAAAAAAATTGCTTAAAATCTTAATATACAATAAAATAGATATTTTCTATTGTAGAAAAGTATGCTCTGAATGTTGTTGAAAGTGTAGTATTTGTTAATGTTCAGATCAAAACAAATCCAGTATATACTTCAAAATATTATTAAGGGAAGTGTTATTGTTAAAGTTTCTCAATTCTATCCACATTCTCTATGGAATAAACTTGCCTAACAAAAGCAGCTGTAATTTTATTTGTGTGTTTCAAATAAAACTCCTTCAAGAAAACTCAGTTTCCACATAGTCTGGTTTGCTTAGCCTCAATATCTGAACTATTGTTTAGCACTAGCCAGTATTACATGCTAACCATTTTTTAAAAATTGCTTGGTGGGTATTCTAGATCACTGCTGTTTCACGTGGTCCTCAACTGAAGAGAAAAACTGGTACCAGTACAACAAATATCCTTGCCTCCTGCCTCATTAACAAATTAGTTGGAATGCCATAAGTTTGCAGGTCTTCTCTCTAGCCTTACCAAATATTTGAATATCTATGATTTTTTCTTAGAAGCCTATTTTTAGTGGTAGATAAAAATATCGCTGTAACTATTTTTAGGAAATTCCTATTTTTAGTATTTTACGTAATAACCCTACCAAAAGCACCATGGATAGTAATGCATTTGTAATTTTTTATTTATTAGTGCTTAATAGATGAGCAACTTTGTTATAAGAAGCAGTTGTACTGCCTCTCATTCAGTACAGAAATTTCACTGCTGTGGGAGAGTCCAAAAATCATCAATGTTCATGTGTAAGTAAGTTAATTTCTCTGAAAAATCAAGCTGTTTCAAACAAGGTCTCCATTTTATTTGAGCAATCTCTTGTAGGTAATAGTGTTTTTAATCTTGTGCCTGCAGTGTTTTTAGGAGGGGAGAAAAGCAATGAATTTGGCATGTGGTCAGTGGTTTCAAGATGGTTTACACATATAAAATATTTTAGCTGCTCCTGTGGTTTGTAGTAATCTTTGTGATCTGTCTTATTTAGAGCCTAAATATTATTTTTTTTTTTCCCTCTCCTAGGCTACATGAATCAAGACAGTGGATACAAGAGCTGGAGCCTGGTCGAGGCTGTAATTTGCTGAAAGCCTTAAGGCATGTCCTTCCAATGAAAGAACTGAATTCCTTGGTTCTTATTGTAGGAAGCTGGTAAGTTCATTATCTGTCTGAACAACCAGATTTAGATTGGATGCAGGCTTGGTACAAGCAACTGAACTTGATAAAAAAAGAAATAGAAAATTTAAGATCCAAGTTTTACATATGTTTAGTTTATAACTTTGAATTCCTTTATTTCATACCTTTTTTACTATTTATAGATCTTCTCTTTTCTGGTATGAAGCTATGTTTTTACTTTGCTGATCATTTATCACAGTAATCTATTGAGAGCCTGCTGGCTCTAATTTTACATCAATTGTCATTAAAGATGTCACTGAAAGAGTCCACACCTCTGCGAAGGTTAGAGGATAAGATTGAATGCTTAATGCTATTTTATAGCAAAATCTAAGATTCTTCTCTCTGTGATCTTAGTAGAGCTGATAGGGAACTTAAAATGTGTGATTAAATAAATGAAACCAGATGAGATTGTATAAATTATAGACTTAAATTCTTCAGTTCTACTGTCATAACTTGAAAATTGCAATATTGGAGTTGGGATTATGAGGAAAAGACTATGATAAGGATTCTAGGAGTGTTACCTTACTCCTAAATTATTAATTGTATTTTATTTTAAACGTACAAAAAGAGATGTGTAAGCTTGACAAAATTGATACTTAGAGTAATTGAACTTAGATTTCAGATAACTTATTGAACACACAGTGTTGATTAGAAGGTTCCAGGTTTTGCTTGGATCTGCTCTGAACAGAAAATAGAAGTTTATACTAGGTGAAAAATTCCTTAATTTCTGTCCCTGGCAGAATTGTAGCTGGAAGGAAAGGTTTTTACTAGCCATCAGAGCTTAGGAAATGAAAGCTGTGTGGGACACTAAGTTCTAAACATCAAGCAAAGTTTTACTTTCTTTGGGGCCTTTGGAAACAGAGGGCATCCTTACACACCAGAGTTGAAAGGTTTTCTATCACAGCAGCCAAAGCCACAGCTCCTGACTCTTAGCTTTCAGGGCTAGCAGGGGATACTTCAAAACATTTGTTATGAATGGGCATAGAATCCTTGAGAGTTTGTTATCATTCAGATTTTCAGGACAGACCCAAACTGCAGTGGTGACATCTCAGTAATGCTTGAAAGAGGGAGAGAAGTTTCCTCCAAAAGCATGATAATGCTAAATACCTAAATAATTCCCATGGTTTATTATTTCTTTCCCAGCTTTTCTTCCATGTCTTCTTCAGTATGGCCTTTTTCCCCCCATTTGATTACTGCCATTTTTAATATCTTTTTTCTTTACTTTTTTTAATCAGCCCTGATCAGTCTTTTGAAATACTATGTGATTATGCTCAGCAGTGTACACTGGGGAGAAAAGTGCAGATTCACATTGTTATATATGATTGCAACCCTGCTTCTCTTGTAAGTAATTGTGTTAATACTTAACTTCCTGAAGTGCCCTGTCATTTCTTTTCTTATTCAGCTGTAATGCCTTCTCTCATAACCCTGTGGGGAAGCTAACCTAATCGTTAGAGTTCTTGAATTCAAGAGTGTTGTATTCTCTTCAGAGCAGATTTGCACACATGAAGAAATTGTTTGGAGCATCATCTTGTAACTTGCTATACTGAGTTAATTTTTCAGCCATATTAAAACAAGACTGGTAAGCAAATGATGGAAACAATTATTTTGGCTTTCTTAGTACAAGTATCTCAAAAACTCATTTTCTGTCTCTACTGAGAACTGAATACCAAAAACCCACATTATCAAAAGAGACTATCAAATCAAAGTAACTGTTTCTCTTCCTATTTTTATATGTAGGCAGTTCTAAAGAACCTTGCAGAAGCTGTAAGAGGCCGTTACCATTGCTACTCTTCCAAGGGAGAGGTAGGTGACAGGAAGAGAGGCAAAGCATTTTTCTCTCTTTTTGATGATTTTTCACTTTGAGAAAGTAAAATCATTATCACCCAAGTAGAAGTTGATAGTAAGTGCTGAAAGTCTCTGTCCTAGAAATGCTGAGGATGTGCTCAATAAACCTGTGGTTAATTCTTTCTGCAACTGAAAGCATTTCCTAAAAGTGCAATAAATTTTGCAGTTATTGTTTACTGACTTATTGCTGATAAAAGCAGTGGCTTACTGTAGAGTGATTCAAAGTTATAATGTAATACCTTATTTATAAATGGCTACTAATTTATATGCAGAGCATTAGATACATTTATACTCAATTCTGCCAGGCAGTCTTGTATTAGTGTTTGCACAATAAAGTAAGAGAGCTGCTTTCAGTTGCTGTATGAGCAGTAGTTAACTTATTTTGTTTTTATAATTGCAGAATTTTGATAGCAGTGATTTTCATCTGCTACTTCAAGAATCCCAGAAGGCTAAGGACCTACTCGAGAGTATCAAACAGGCTTTTCAAAGAAGAGCTGGTGGCTTGCTTGGTAGTAGAAAAGCAGATGTATGTATCTCTTTATTTTCAGATGTATTTTGAATAATTAAGGTTAGAAATTTTAAGTGTCCACAATATGAAAAAAAATTGTGTGATGTATCAGGTATTTTGATATGTGAACTTTGAATATTCTCTATTGAACATCCTTTGTAAGAGCAAATTAAGAACAAAATCAGCAAAGGAGATATTTTGCTAAATGTTCTCCAAAATCCATAAAAAGAACATTGTCCTGTGATCATAATGGGAATCTAAGAAGCGCTAGCCTGACTCTATGCACAATCATATAGATGAAGTTCCATCAGTCCTTTAAACTGGTGAAAAGATACTCCTATGTGATTTAGTTGGACATTTAAATCTATTGCAGACTTATAAGGGCTTGTCTTGGTAGCACTGTTATACAAGTCTAGGAGGAATTTTTTTGTTAGTGAAATAGTCTGTTCTCTGTCACAGCCACTGTAGGTATCTGTGTGATGTAGACAAGCCTGATCTGAAAGTGGGTCTGAAAGCTCACATTAGATATTCTTGTGTAGCTGGTCATCTGACCTGAGACATTCCAGACAGGAGGCAAAGTAGTTATTTTTGAATAAAATTTCTCATTATTTTTCCCCTCAACCTTCCTATGCTGTACATTTTTTTTTTCTCTCTTCCAACTTCATAGTTACTGTGTAGGCTACCTCTGGAGCAGAAGTCACTCTGAAATTATTTAGAAGATTCTATATCCCCAGTAAAAGCCCATTTTTAGGAGGACCAATGATAGCTATTTTCAAAGCATTTTGTTTGTTGGAATCCCAGCACTTCAGTTTTAATTATGTTCACCGGGATTCCATGTCGGATATTTTGAATTGAGAGTAAAAATAAATTATGGTAAAACTTGCATGAGCTTTTCTTGAAATCCATTTTAGGTTTCCACAGAATTTGCAAATACAGCAACTTCCAGCTTCTTCCCAAAGCCTCCAAAGAATAAAGGACCATTAGTTATTCAAACACCAGGCATCCTGGCCAAAACCTCAGCAGACTGGTTAAAGACATATGGACTGAAAGGTAGCACAGAAAGGAAAGCTTAACAGATATGAAACATGAATTAAAGACAGAGTATGTGTTTTATTTAATGTCTTTTTTTCTTCCTATAGCTAAAAAATTAGACCTTTATCAAGTTTTGGCTCCCAATGCTTTCTCTCCTGTGGAAAATTTTATACCTGTTCTTAAAAAAACAGTATCATCAACTCTACATGAGGCAAGTGATGAGGAACTTTTTTCCCTGGGTTTGTGGAGGTTTTTTTATTTATACTGCTACATTTTTCTAATTTTAATCAGTACTTTAAGCTGCCTGAAATTAAGTTGGCTGAAATCTGAATCATAGATTCAACTCAAATACTTAATGTCATTCTTAAGAATGACTCAGGAAGAAATTCCATGTTGGTCTATCTTATGTTGAGCTCTGTAAGCAGTTAACTCTATTTATCCTTCTAGAAAGTGATGATACAGTTTGAGTGGTATGATGGAACTGTAAAAAATATCCATGTTGACCTTCCAGTATTGTACAACTATCAGGTGAGTTGTCTATCGTGATGTGGCCTTGTCAGGGCTAGACTACCATCTAATTAATCCTCCTAATTGTCTTGTTAGCTAAGTACTGTGGGGATTCATGTGCAGACAGCTGTCCTTGTAAGTCTGCAGCCACTGGAATTCTTACAGGCAGTAGTGATTCTTGAGGATTTTCTGCTAGATCAGAAAGCGGATCATCAGAGAATGGGACGGATTTAATCAAAGAGAAGCTGGGGATGTTTGAAACCAGGGTTTGCTGTATAGTGGTCTGTCAGTCCTTTTTCTTTCCCACTTTACTGGCAGTCCTCACAAAAGGCTATGGGAATATTTCTAGGCAGGGAAAACAATTCATTACAGTGGGAGTGATGTGAAGTCTGTGGAACTCTACAGCCAGACCAAATGGAGAGTGTGAAGTGGCTGAAGTGAAAATCAGCTTCTGTGGCTCCTTGCTCACTGGTAGATGCATGTATTTTGTGCTCCAAAAGCATGCTAAATGATAGTTCTGAGTTCAGTGCCCTTTTCTAGCTTGATATGCCCTCATTTAATACCTATATATACTTGGAAAGGTCATGGTGTATAGAGTTTGGACAAATTACTTTGATATCAAATTGATAGTGTTAAAGAATTACATGTGTTTGAGAATATTGTGTTTATGTTATATTATGTGTTTTGTGATGAACACTGCCTAAAAATGTTATTGAAGAAAGTGTAAGCTTGTAAAAGCTCTTAGAGCTCTTTTTTTTGTTTTCTTGATATGCCTGAACACTATTTTGAACATGGTGGCAAGAGGAAAAGTGGAGATACTGGCCTCTAGATTCTTTACTGCTTTTTTTTTTCACTGTATGTTTTTTCATGGTCTGTGTTCTCATATCTGTACTAAAAATGAAATGTCACTATCTAAATGAATGAAAATATTATTTTTTTTACTATGCTGTTATGTTATTTCTGTCTTATTAAGCATTTGACAATAAAAGACTTGAACTTTTTATTTTTAACATAATTTTTTTTTATTTATGCATAGAAAATCCTTGCTAAAATGGTAAGAATCTATGAGAAACGAATTGACTGGCTATCTGGTGCTAGCAGAAGAATATGGGGAAGTGTTTGTGAAAGAAGGTATTGTATTTGATTTTGGTTTTTTTTTTTTTTTGTGAGGTTTGAAGCCTTAATGTGTTTGAGGACAGTGTTTATTTACATCTTGTCTGAGGCCTGAACCTCAATTGCACATTTGCTCTTTTTACTGTTTATAAACCTTGAATATGGAGTTTGAGACAAAAGGAAGGTAGCTGAGACCCCTGTTACTAGAGGTTTTCTTGCTCATTGATTTGGACTGAATTAGTTTACCTGGCCACTGTGTTGTGCTGGCAGCTCACATCCCACCAACTGTCCATCGCACCTGTGGGTCTTTTCAAAACTACTGCTCCCAAATCATCTCTGTCCATTAACTGTGACCATCCTGCGTTGTCTATGCAAGCAAGACTTAAAACTGACCGTGCTGAGCAGCTCATCATTAACACTTTTCTCTAAGCAGGTGATGTGCTTGATAGCATCAGACAGTCCATACCTGTGCAACCCCTCTGGCACTGATGAGCTGAGAGAAACCTTAACCATTTGTCTCTGGAGTAATATTCCATATGTTCCTGGAGTGTTGGCTGGGAAAGGACTGAGCCATCAATCAACTCTCCTTGCTGGCAAACATCCACACATTTCAGGAGGGCTTTAGATACTCAAGTACAGAGAAAGAGGAAGACCTGTTTGGAGTTCAGCAGCCCTTATAGCACTACAAGTAGCCAGGACCCTGATAATTCCATAGTTTAGGAAAGATTGAAGTTTCATTACTGTTTCAGTGTTTATAAATTTTGATACATAGGTAGAAGGTACTTTCCCAGGCAAGTTAGAGTGCACTAAAGACAAGAATACATAATTAGATAAGAGTTATTTCTTTTTTTAAATGAATATCATATTTTTTATATAGGGTGGTTATACTTGTTGATATATCAGTGACAAACTCTACCTATATCACTCTTATCCAACATTCTTTGCGACTTTTACTTGAGGAACAAATGTCAAATAAGGACTACTTCAATATTATAGCGTAAGTAACTATTTAAGAGTCTTTTAAAATAACTGTAATGCATTGCAATGAAAGAAGTATGCTGAGAGCTTGTAGTTGCTAATAGGCATATTTTAGTATTTAATGTTTTTAGTGAAGTATTTGCAAGACTGGCACTGATTGGTCCTTATTGGGTGAGTTCATGAATCAGATGGAGACCACATTAGTAATTAAAAATCACTGGTTTGGGTGAGGGTCACTGGAACTGATTGCATCATACCTGTAACAAATACTCATCCTGCTGTATTGTTCATAACAGTATTAATTCACCTGTCAGAAACTTACCAAAAGAGGATTTTGATGTCTCAGGTACCATAACTGAGAGCACCCTTTAAATTTTACAGTAACTCCAATACTGTTACAGTGTTAAATATTACAGTGTTAAAATTCTGTACTCAGCACTGGCAGGCACAACTGCTAAGCAAACTACTGGGCAGGTGTCTTGCAGGTAATAGTAAAAGCCAGCAGCTCTTGGAGTTCCTAACATGGTGTGAGAACAGAGCCCTTATCTCACAAGAGAGATATAGGCAGCAGCTGTGGGATGGAGTTCCTTTTTCACTGAGCTTTTCCCAGCTCATGTAGGATCCTGTTAAGGAAAGAAAATCAAACAAACCTTGGGTGATGGATAAATGTGGATAATTAAATGGTTTGAAATAGAAAATAGCTGGCATCAGGCTGTTTTATGTCTATAATACCCCAATGAGATTTTTCTTCTTCAGTAAATTTATTTTATCTTTTTGCTTGCTCTAAACTGCAAATTAATTGCTGTTATCTTTCTGTGAAAGATTTGGGAGTGATATTGTGCCTTGGCAACAGGAACTGTGTCCTTCCCAACCAGAAAACTTAGAAAAGGCTTGGAGGTAGGATCAAATAATTATCCCATGTATGTGAATTTCATAGAGAAAAATTGCAAACAAACTAAAAAATTGTATAAGTTTATTATGTTGCATAAATAGGCTGACGTTTCACACTGCTTGTTCATAGTGGTTTCTTGTGAAGACAGCATTGTAAAAGTTAGTAAGCTTGATGACTTTGTATTTCATATGTATGTATAATATATATGTACACAGAATCAAAAGTGTCTGTGTAAGGAATAAAGAGGTTACATTAAGAATTGAAAACTGCTTCAAATACGGCTGGGATGTGAGAGCTAAACAACAGGGTTTTTCCCACATGCTTTGGAAAAAAAATCCCAGGTTTCTGTTTGTGGAGTCACACTGTGTTCTCACTGTACCTCTTGTTTCATTCCTGTTTCTGTAAGTTCTACTATATTACTATTTTTCCACATAAAATAAGGAGAGAATTCTTTCCTTTTTATGCTTTGTATCTTACTTTAAAACTAGTTTGCCATGCTGGCAGTACAGAAACCAGAGCAAATAATTTGTTATATAATCTGGATCTGTTCTCTGTCATTTTCAAAAATTTTAGACTCCAGTGTAGTGCTATTTAAGATACTTAGTTCTCTATATTACTTTGAGCAGAAACAAGAGGTTTTGTTTCTTCACTCTTTGAACTGTAAACATCTTGGTTTAGGTGGGTGTTGAGTTTGGAGTGCAAAGGCAGTAGGAATTTCATGAGTGCACTCAGAAGAGCTGTGGAAGTTGACTTCAAAGACAAAGATAAACACAAATCACAGGGACTCTACCTGCTGACTACTGGAATACCTGATCAGGAAACAGTGAGTGTCATCACAGGCAATTTTCCTCTTAAGTTCCTATCAAAACTAGTATCAACTTTCTTTTTCTCTTTTTCCCTAACTTGTTTTTCCCCTTGTGGCCAGTCATCACAGTTCATTGGCAGAATATTCCTCCTTTACATACCTAAGGCAGCACAACTGTGGGGATCCCAAGCTTCCATTTCTGCAATCGTTAGTCATGTGTTGGAGTAGCAATTATTGTGTGTGAATTATAGAAAATTCAAGATGTGCTTTTAGGATTCCTTTCCCACTTCAGTTCTGGACATAATTTTGCTTCAGGTTTCTGAGTTTGAACAAGCTGATTTTTGTAATCTTTCATTTCTGTACAGCTCATGGGAACAAAGACACAAATAATTTTCCAGTGGAGCTCCATAGCACGTTATGTAGAAACAGCTCGTGTTTTTATCCCAGTAATCCCTTGCTTGGATCCATGTTTGCAGTGAATGTGCTCCATGGCTTTTAAGCCGTGTGCACAGCCTTGAGTTTTTACATCTGTGCAGTGAGGTGTCTCCTGCTTTTGTTACCAAACCTCTGGAAATTCTGGGCAGACCTAAGAAATTATTAAAGCCTGTATGGTTGACAAGAAAATGAGGGACAGATGGACAGTTTCATCCCTACCTTGCTTCAGTGCACTGCTAAATTGATGCCCACGATGTCTGCCTTTGGTTCCCAAATCTACCCCAGCTCACCTCTTGCTTGCAGTAGAGCTGTTGCCACTATAGCCAGCAATAGTGCTAATTGTGTGTCTGCATGGACTGAGGAGGCATTGGACTACTCAGGGTAGGTTCCTGTGCTGAACTGCTGCAGCTGGGAGGATTTGAGGATTTGTACAACAGACAGGAACCAGTGGAGTAGATGGTAGCTTGTCTGAGGTAGAGGCTCACCCCTGATGTTTCTTTTTCCTCTGTCTTACAGCACACAATCAGTGCTTATGTGGCTGAGGCTTGTGGAGGTTTTGATTTCCAGCTCCATGTCTGCCTGTTCAGTGTAACAAAGGACACTGACTCCACTGGGATTATTCCAGCCCGCTACGCCAACCCAAGGGAAACCGCCTGTGCTTTTAAAGAAATTGTTCAGGCAGCCAGTGGAAGGTTTCACTGGTTTGGAGAAGCAGGTATGAGCAAAGGAAAGTCAACACATACTTCTTTTTCATTAATGATATAATATTCATTAATGATTTTTACTCCCAAACCAAGTAGTTTTCTTCTTTTAAGATATGCTGATGCTGTACTAGCACTGAGATAAAAACACAGGTCATAGTTTTATTGCAATCACATTGCAGAATATTATAATGCAGCCTTATTTAAGGAATTTGGGTTGGTTTTTTTTTTCTATTTGAATTCACTATTTTCTGGTAGCCTTTTTAAAGGTGCTTTAAAATATAGTTATTGATATGGTAAGTCCAGATGATCAGGCTTGCAGGAAACAAAGGTTTTTTGGTCCTCTGTATTGGTATTTAGCATGTCATACAAATCGTTGTATATTTTAGAAAATCCCTACTTTGTACACTTTAAAAAACCTGTGCTAATTAGAATCTATTTGATTATCAGGTATTTTTGAAAGTGATGATATTACTAGTATTATATCTGAAATGGAAAAAGCAAAGAACTACTCCCAAAAGGTATGAATTACATAGAACTTTTTAAATTACGTTTCTTCCTTAAAAAATTCAACAGTGTTCAGCTGACAATTCAGGAGCTTGAACAAAACCGTTTTATGATGAGCAGGAATGTTCTAGAGTGTGAGAATAGTGACCATAGAGTAAATATGGACTAGAAAGCAGTTGCACAATAGCACTACAGTGACTGGTGTTGGAGTAGCCATGATTCCCTACCAAATACAAGTTTACAGTTCGAGTGATTCTCCTGTTTTTTGCCAATCCTGTGATGAATTCTTTTCAAGTAAATTAATTCTTCATTATAATAAAGTTATATATGTTACATGCAAATGAATAATGCTACATTCTTGTAAGTCCCAGGATAGGGAGGGCTTGTCATTAGCACAGTGGTTTTGTTCTGAAACAGTGTACTGAGGGTGTAGAACTAGACTGTATCTCACCATATTCCATGCACATGACTTTTTTCCAAAGATATGTAACAGAATAACTGAGGCAGTATAGCCAGCCTGGCAGTGTGGTGGCTGTTTCTTATAAAAGTGTGACTAGATAGAGATCTGCAGTAAGAACCTTGTCCAGAGGGCTGAGTACCCTGTTGGATGCAAGTCTGAGTCACAAAAGTTGGACTTTTTTAAAAGGAGAGCTGGTGTCTATTCAATGACACCTTAAAATAATTCATTATCATTTAACAGTTGCATATATTTGTTTCACCATCCTCCACATTGTTCTAGCCTTGGTCTATACACACTGCTGCCTTTTGGATTAGTCTGTTTGCCCAGAGCAGTATGAATTACTAATCAATGTGGATTTCCATTTCAGTGTGCATTCCTAGTGGAGTCCTTAAAGCAACGCTCAGTAAATCAGTCTGTGAAACCCATCACACCAAGAGACTCAAATGTGTTTATGAGGAGTAAGAAAAAAAAACCACAGAAGGTGCCATCTCCTAAACCCACAGCTATGAGTCTGGCTAGAATAGTTTGAAATGGTCCCACCTTTAATATACTGTGTTAATTAAAGATCCTGCTGAGCTATTGGGTATTCCTTTTGGTGAGAGAAGTGCTCAGCTGAAAATTTGAAGAAATAAGAGCAGCACTGTGATAGTACTTTGAATTTATGTTTGCATTCAAAATGCTACATATACCAAAAAGTGCATCATACTGAGTAATTAATTATAATGGAACCACACTGTCTTGTCAAAAGCTGTCTAAATAATCCTTCCTCTGACCTTAAAAGATAAAGCAGAAATGTGCTTTACCAAATGACATCTATTTTGCAGGTCCTTCTAGAAGGATATTATGATGTTCTACTCATTTACAGATGAGACAGATGCAGCTCAGTAGCATGTCTGGCCTCACAGAGAGCCAGCATAAAACAAGAACAAGATTCAGGATTTGTTTCCTTGCTGCTGTGCTTATTTCCATGGAGCTGCACTACAGAATCCCTTGGGATTTTGCTAGTGTTTGTTCATTTTAACTGTGCATATGTCTGTTTTGAGTAGGTGTGTACATCTGTAATATGCATAAAGGGCCAGTGCTTACTGGAACTTTCAGGTCTCATCTTTGAAATGGGAATGGCATTGTAGGCGTGGGAATGTAGGAAATGGGAATGTAGGCGTGGGAACGTTGCAAAGGCTTTGTAGGTTTTCCAGGCTGTTTTATCAAAGGTGACATGTTCTCAACACCTCGTCACAAATGCAGGAGAACCTAATTACTCAGAGATAACAATAGAGTGTAGTTTTGCAGGGATTAAACTTGTAGGAAACGGGTACGGGGTTGTCTGTAGATGTTTGGTGATATTTATAGTAGAGATGTTAAATTAGATGTCAGTTGCTTGAAGGCTCAGTGTCACAGCAAGCCTTATCCTAGAGTAGGGTTAAACAAGTTCTTGTGTTGTTTAGCAGACTGCTCAGCCCCTAGAGGGATAAGCCAAACCCAAAGGAGAAATTACTGGTGTCAGCACTAGATTTTCAGTAGTCATTAAAATGAAGATACTAAATACTGCATTCTATAAAGCAAGGCCATTATCATACTAGACTGCTCCTTCAGGTGGCAAAAAATGGTCCAAACTCCTCTCCATGTAGATGCTAGTCCTCAGGTTTATGGTAGCAGATGATATTGGCAAGATAATTAAAACAGAGCAATTAGTTACTTAACCCAGCAAGAAACTGCAAATTAATGTGTTGTCATGACAGTCTGTGGATTAGTCAAATCCAGAATAAAGCAGGAATTAAAGAATAAAGAAGCATAGTTCCAGATTAGAATCATGTAGTTACAATCTGGCTAAAACACTTTTTACATTTATTTTTTTGTTATTAAAGGTGCTTAAGGATGTTAAAGACAACCATGGTGCAGAGAGAAATACTCCTGTAAGAGTACTAGCATGGCGTCCTCCTAGCACCAAAGCAGGAATTCCACCAGGTCTGTATGGATTAGGGACTTTTTGTCTTCAATTTTGTTTGGGTTTTGCTTAAAAGACAGTATTTAAATTAGAGATTTAAATTAAGATTTTAGAAACTCCTGAAATTGTAAACTTTAATCAGATTTATAGGAACCATCGTGCTTGTTTTGGAATTCCTTCGGGATGAGTTTTAGCTGTTATTTATCTTGTTTGTTTCTACACTGTGCAAGGAAGGAACTCTGCACAGCTGTGATTTCCAGGTCCTAGAATTGAATACCTGACCTTTATCAGGAAATGTCAAATGTGTCTGATGGAAAGTAGAACCCCACTGTGTTCTATACCTGAAGCCATAAGGCTCAGCAGTTCTGACATTTATTATGTTTTCAGTTCAATGTATACATTGCCATTAATCTGTTAGATCCCATTTTAATTAATATGCTGTTCCACTTGATGTATTTATGATCTAGTAATGAAGGAAAATACGACACCAGTGTCAGGTTGTCTGAAGTGCTGATTCTTCCAACTGCTTCTGGTATATGAAAAGCTCTTAAACTGATTCCAGTTACTGCTGGTCCTTTAAAGCCCAATTCATTTCTCCTCCATTTTTGTTTTCCCTGTGTTTTTTCTTTGTATCATCGCTAACATTTGCAATTTTTCTTTAAATTAAGTTTTAGTCTTCAAATCTACCGATGTTGATATGTAGCAGTGTTTACAAATCTGGATTCATATTTGCATCTGAGGTCCTCTCTACAAAGTTTACTGGTTTCCTCCAACAAATATTGTGCTTGTTCAAACCCCTAATTTTTTTCAGACTAACTCCTGTGACATTCTTCCTGATTGTAATTTCTATATTTGTAAAGGTTTCATTTCTATTAAAGCTTCTTAAGTAGTGCTATAATATGATTTTTCTTAATCAGTATCAAAGAAAATGAAGCATTTTTAATTGTGGTAATAGGAAAATACAAAGAGAAGAACAGAGTTGAATTCTTCTCATGTAAGAGTTTTATCCAGATGAGCTAAATTAATAGGGTTTTTTTAATCTATTATTACTTGTAGCACAAACAGTAAAAGAACAGCCTCAGACTGAGAATAAAGGAAAGCACAAACCCAGGAAGCAGCCAGAGCTTTCTGTGTCTGTATTTTACACTGAAGAAGGAAGAAATGTGGGTATGTGTTATCAGGATGAGATGGGTGAAGCCCTTTTCTTATCAGCACTTCTATTATAAAACTGGCAGGATGATAAGTCACTGATAACTGGTATGCTTTGAACAGTGAGTGGGAGAGAGTTTCATTTACCAAATAGTGGTAAGGATTTTTACTTTGGGTGCAGGTGGGTGGCACTTTTTGCCTGTGATTTTTGTTTTGTTTTTTTTTAAAAGGGTTTTTCTTTTGTAAAGTCCCTTGGGATCTTTTGGTCAAAGGTGCTCCAAGGAAAGGTGCTGTGAACATGGTTTAGTTGATGACAGAAGATTTGGTTAAGAATTTCTTGAAGTGACAATTTATTTAATATAAGTGAATCTTTAAGGTACTTTGTTCGTTTCTTAAATAGGTACAATATATCAGAAGTATCCAAAGGCAGTGTGCATAAGAAAATCTGTTTCCTCTGTCACATTGCCAGAGGATGAGGAAATCTGTTCAAGCAAAGAGGTATTTTTCTCCTTACTATTAAATTGCCATTTTGGAACTATCCATCTGAATTAATGTAAATGTTAATTGTGATTCTGTACAATGTGTTATTACTTAAATTTTTCTAATATTTGCCAACAATCAATTGCTCTATTTGTTTGTCTTACAAGTGGCTGACCAAGTACAGTATTAAAAAGCTTAAACTGGAATTGCCCAGACTGATGTTTGGTCCAGGCTGTACCCACCAGAAGAAAACTGTGCAGTCTCTGCATAAGAAAGTATCAGCAAAATACTGTTCTATCTTCCCCAGTGCAGAAATCGATGTAGGTATTTGCAGATGTCAGGTACCCACATTATTGAAAAGCTTTGTTTAGTGAATGTTGGTTGATGTTTATGGCTTTCTAGTATGGTGTTCTCTCCACTCTGCCCTGTTCTTTCTGAATCATACTTCCACTATCAAGCTAGAGAAGGTCTTTTATTCACCACAAAAAAAACATTTAGCATGTTTGGAGTCCAAACTGCATGTTCTTTAGAATGTGTAGCATTGCCTCTGCTCATACAGTATGAAAAATCATTTTTAAAATTTAAATAAAACTTTTCAAAATCATGTGTGAGTGGAAACTAGAAAAATGTTGGATCTTGATTGTTTCAGTTTGTGTAATGACTGGAGAGAAGCACAGAAAGTTAAGTGCAAGCAGCAGAGTCACAGAATATTTCTTACCGTATTTCATAGATGTAAAGACAAAAATCTCCCTGGTATTCAATGCCTGGTATTCATTGCATATATAGCAGCTGAGCTCAGATTTCCTCAAGTAAGATGCTCTTGCACAAACTGAATTTTTTCAGGGGGTTGTGAAACATCTGCAGTTTCACCCTAAAGAGCTGGAGACCTACACAGAACAACTGGAGAAGGTGCTGCAGCGCTATATCCAGAGAGTGCAGTGGCTTCTCTCAGGTATTGGTGTGCCTCTGCTTTTTTGTAAAGCACAACTTCAATATATACATAAACCTTCTTGTCTGCTATTTCTGAATGTAAATCTGAACCTCCAATGTGAATAAAGGTTCTCTGTCTTGAATTTCATTTCAAGTTTAAAACTTATTTTTGTGAATACAAGAGAATTCAGTATCTGTGCAGCTGATAAACATCTCACTTGCTGACAAATAATTCATTTTTAGTTGTTATGTGTTCCTGAATTCAGAGCAGAATCTTTCCATCAACAGAATACATACAGTAACATATACAAGCAAAATTAGGTTTTCTGCATGTTTTGCTAAGAATATGCCCTGCTTAGAATTTCAACATCACTATTGGTGAAGAATATTTTGATCTCTCTGCTGCTTATAAAGATCTTTGTTGGAAAACAGTTCAGTTTTTTGCTGAGTTGTAAAGGAGCTGCAAATTATTTAGTGCAAGTTGCTGCAATTAGCTAGTAATTAATGCTTAATAGTGCTAGTTTTGAAATGGCCGAAGACTTTTCTATTGTTAAGCTTTCAACTACCTAATTGCCACATAGATTAGACTAAATTATGTAGAAATGTGCCCAGAATTACCCCTAAAGACTGATGATTTACATTATGCTCAATAAAATAAGCCTCTGTAATAACTCTTAATTAGTTTTAATGTTCTGGCCCAGGAAGCCGAAGATTGTTTGGTACCATTTTAGAAGCAAATGTCTGTGTTTTGATTGATACATCTGGTTCCATGGGCCCATATTTGCCACCCGTCATGAAAGAACTTACCTCCCTTATCTGGGAACAGCTGAGAAAAAATGAAGTCAGGTATGGTGAATTACTGATAAAGACTGAAATCTGCACTCATTATTATGTAATCAGATTGCTTAATAATTATAGTAATACAGCACTGAAACACAATTTCAGTAATTATTGTATGTTAGAGTATAATGTGCATGTAACAAGAGCTGCTTTTTCTGTTGTTTTACCAGTTTTAAGTTCTAAACTCTTAAGACCTGAGCTTCTGCTGTAGGCTGATGCTGTTTACCCTCTTAGGCTCAGCATTCCCATAGACTTTCTGTTCATGAAAAGGAAGATATGCTTTTTGACTCTTCCAAGGCTGAAGATCTTCATCCAATACTAGGCTCTTTGATAGGGAGTTTGGTTGGGTTTGTTTTTTTTACTGTTTGGTTTATTTTTAAAAAAATTTTATATATTTACTTATTTTAAAACTGTCTTATCCAAAGTGACTTGTTTTACTGGTTAGGGTTAAATGTTGTGGGTCATCTTTCTCCTCAGGTTTAACCTGCTGAGATTTGCAGAAAATACAGAGAGTTGGAAAGAACATCTTGTAGAGGCAAGTGATGAAAGCTGCCATGATGCTGTGCAGTGGGCTTCCACATGCCATGCTCATGGGAACTCCTGCATCCTTGCAGCTTTACAGGTTGGTGTGCCACAGCTTGGAGAACACATCCTGTCTTGTGGTCAAACACTTGCCTGGTGACATTCTAGAAAAATTATTATGCCCAAGTGTACAACATCTTTATATGCAAATCACTGAACAGCTTAGAAATCAAGTCACTGTTTCTGGCCCCAGGGCTCATAGATACTCATATTAGTTGCTTTTACTAAGTTTTTTTAAAAAAGCCAAATATCAATAGTTTTGTTAATATTTGTGTTCAAAGAATACTGGAGAGGGAAAATAGCCAGTTGCTCAAAGTGATGTTTATGTACAACTGTGGCTGTAGTATGTTACTCTGACCTAAACTCGATTTTAAATAAGCAGTGTTTGTTGGAATCTTAGGGGTTTTGAGTACAATTCTTGAACTTTAGTAACAAGTGAAGACATTTTTCTCCTATAAAAATTCTCAGTGTAGAAATCAACTAGTAAGAATAACTTAAAACTGAACTTGCAATTTCATGAGATTTAAAATAGGAATCAAAAAATAAATGTTGCTTTTAATGAACAATCCTTCTTCCAGACATCCTTGCACAATCTCTGTATAAATGTTACAGCATTCATCATGACTAAAGTCCTGTAGAGCTGCAAGGCACATGTGTAGTACAAAGATATCCACTGAGTCAATTACTGCAGCAAATTTTCATAATACTCATTCAAGTCCTAGTGAGTCTGATTTTCAGACATTAAACACCTTTAGCTACCATAAAATATGATGTAAAAATCTTTTGTCAGTAGTTCTCCAAAACCAGTTAATCTTCTTTTTTTTTTCAGTAAGTCAATTTTTGACAATGTCCTGCTTATAAATATGTTGTCTTATGCTACAAATTATCTACTTAAATCTTCAAATTTATATCCTTGATCTCCTTCCCTAATGAATGAAAATGAAAAGACAAAACTAAGTTGATTAATGATGAGGCAACTATCTTAAATCATTGGAATGGTATTTTTGTTCCAAAGTATAACTTTTCATATAAATGTACAAATTATTTAAGCTTATTTTCTGCTTTTCAGAAGGCTCTCAGTTTCCAAGGTGTAGAGGCACTGTATCTATTGACTGATGGAAAACCAGACACCAGTTGCAGTCTGATTTTGAAAGAAATTGAAAGATTGATAAAGAAACAAGATATTAAAATCCACACCATTTGTTTTAGCTGTGCAGACAGGTATATGATACTTTGCAAGAAAAAAAAAATCTCTTAAACTGACTATTTATTGTCAGAGGTCTGTGCTGACAAGATGGTAACAGGGAAGGTTTTTCTGACACAGGTAATTGCCACATTTTATACAGGAATTTATAATCATGTCCTCCAATCTATTTGTTTTGATGTCATATTTTTGAGGAGTTCTTAGAAATTCTTTTGCTGTTGCTTTTGGCAAATAATTTTCATGAATAGCTTTCTACTTTATGCTAACAGAGGAGCTGTTGAATTCCTGAAGAAGCTTGCTTCCCAAACAGGAGGGCGCTTCCACTGCAGTTCTGGAGGTGAAGATGGACAATTAGCAGCACACAGAATATTGACAGAGGGGCTGGATGATGAAGATGTATGTTAAATAAATTGTTTTGTTTTGTTTCATTGCTACTTAGTTCATCAGTAGAGAAACTTCATTTAAAAAAGAAGAATAAGAAAAAATAATACAAAATTTCTAGGATATTTCATATTAAAACCAAAACCAGAAATCATAGTTTTGCCTTTCTGCTAACTGCCTTGGTGAGGTGCCCAAGCCCATGAAAGGAATACACAGTGCAACATAGGTTTTGAAAGAGAAGTAAAAAATGTATAATGTGTCTGAATGTGGTTTTTAAACTAACTTCAGCTTTTCCTGTCTTCTTATCCTTGCCATCTTGTGTTTCATTTAATTGTAAAATCCTTATACAGTGCTTAGCACAACAGTCCTCCAGCATGAGACCTCAGGCATTGCCACGGCAGAACAATGTTACTGAGCAGAACCAGGTTCAGTCTAGGCTTGCTCTGCTCTGCTCTCCTCTAGTAGAGGACCACTAGACCGAGACCTCCTCTGCAAGTAGGGAAATTTAGAGCTTAGGATCAATTAATTAAGTTGATGAAACAGAAAATAACAAATAGGTACAAGTTAAAACATTTTAACTATGTTTTCAGAATCCAGTTTTCCCTTACTTTGAAGGAGATGATTTAAAGAAACTTACTCAAGAAGTAGCAAAAGCTAGAAGTTTCTTAAAGCAGGCAAAATCTTGGAGGTGAGTATTTATCAAGAATCTTTGTATTTATTATTTAGTGGAATGAAGACAAGAATATCTGACTCCCAATGTCTGTTATATAAAAAAATAGACCTGGAGAATTATCTAGAATAGGAGTAAAGGACAATTAAATTGTATTGACCCATATGTTTCTTCACTGTTACCCTTCCTAGCTGCCAACCCAGCACCAGAATGCACCAAATTCAATAGGAATGGCAGGCAAAAGTATCTGCAAAAGACCTTTAAAATGTATTATACCTCCACATTGAAAAGTCATCTAAGATCAGAGCTAAACAAAGACTCCAAGGTGTTCTATGCCTCTGTGAAAAGCTGCTGTAATTCTCTAGGGTTTGTTTTTCTTTCAAACAGATTATTGCTTGAAAAATGGAACACAAACCAAAAAGATGACTCTGGCTTTCAAAAAAGTGTTCAGGTAAACAGTCACCTCATTTACATCATAGCTTATGTATAGTTCATGTATTTCAGTAGAAGGGCAATATTTTATTAAATATTCATTTGTAGCAGAGACTTTTCCCAAAGTTGGAAACATTTGTAATGATTTTAGTTCTTAGCTGAGATAGTCCAGAGTAAAACCCCATATAACTAAAGAACAGCTCAAAGAAAACTGTCTGGGGTGAAAAGAGCAAGGCAGATGTGTATTTGTAATTACTACTGGTCTAGCAAGCAGTTAAGCACATTAGAGGGTTAGAACCAGATGCAATGGCTGTAATAATAATTGTGGCATGGGCTGCACGATTTATCTGTTAAATGAACAAGACAGACTGAAAAAAGACCCCACTAATATCAAAAGCATCCTCAGCAAACATGGGACTATCATTACAGAGTAGTGGGAGAGGCAGCTGGGCAGCTGAACCTCTCACAGAGCCAACCTGCTGCTTTAAATTGGCAAAGTAAAATCCACAGGAAAAGAGAAATTACTGGGTGGAAGTACTTTCTCAGAGTTAAACAAGGCAGAAGCCTTTGTCACAGAGCTGTTTGAGGAAAAGCAATGGACACACAGACAACTGCAGAGTTGCACTAGAGAACCTTGGCCTGCCAAGATATTCATCAAGAAATTGGGCAAGGCAGATACAGAGCAAGACTGGGCTTTTAAAAATCCTTGTTTCTATAGCTGTAGTTTGTATTTTGGTTCAAAAACATTGCCCAGTCATTCAAATAATAATATAAAGAAATCCAGTCCAACCTGCTGGTGAAGAATGCCTAGTTCATGGAGAGTGGACACCTGGAGTCTGGTGTGCAAGAGTGTGTCAGTGTGGCTGAGTCTGCAGAATTCAGCATTTAAGAGCTGATCACTCACGAGAGATGCTTGGAGAGGGATCAGATATAACAACATCCTATAGGAGCAAGGAAGTTGTTACAGGCATGCAGAGATAAAGGCTGGTGTTCCACAACTATCTCTGTATCTCATTGTTCCAAGGAAAACTGTATTGCTGGTGAAGTGTATAGGAAGGCATTCCTGTTAAAATTCTCAAGAAAGTGCATAGCACTGTAGCCCCATCAAACATTTAACTAAGGAAATCTGATTACTTTCAGTTTAAGTTACATTGTTTTTCCTTTACTATTTTGTCAATGGTGACACTGAGCCCATGGATTTTATATATTTTGAGTTGTATTTTAAAAAGTATTCATGTGCTTCACTTGTAGGATTAAATTTTCGATGAAGAAAAGGTGCTGAAGAGGTTTGGAATCATACCATTAACCTGCTTCTTTTCAAAGTGTGCTCACACCTTCCAGCTTCAAGCAGAAAGAAAGAAGGTTTTTCCTTTGTTGTCACAATTGTTGGCAAGACAAGAAGTTGCAGATGATAAGCGCTGCACTGACTCCACTTGAAGATTTTGCAGGATACAAAGTAAATCAAGCCCTGAACCCTATGAAGTTTAAATATAAGTAGAGGATAGTTTTCAATATCGTTAATACAAATTGTAAAAGTGTATGGATCAGTAGTTACACAGGGTCACAACTTTTGTTTCTCTTTTATTGCATTGTATCAATTTCTTCAGTTAGTTGCTGGTATGTCTAAATTGCCTATTTTGTCTGTTGGTTTGAGAATTCATTATTGGTGCTTATTATCACTAGCAGATGGGACAGATGGCAGTGATATTAGGAAGAGAATTCTTTATGCCAGTTTGGCATAGAAAGTCCAAGAAATAACCTTAATGGAGAAAACAAAGCTTGTAATTCATGTTTTTGCACAGAGAAGTTTTGCTAATAATTATTTCAACTCTGGATGATGACTCAGAAATTACCATACATGCAAGAAAGTAACACCCTGTTGCTGATGTAGCCTGGTTGTGTTTGTATAACTGGACACTGCCTGTCTTCTGAGCAGTTCTGTTCTTATATATTTCCTGTCTAGAAAGATTAAAAATATGTTTGCTAGTATCAGTAGAAATATACTCGGTTTTTACTGATTTTTGTAATGACAGCTCACTAGTATTTGGAGATGGTCACTGTTGTTTTTTAGAGGATTAGAAATTCATCTCAGATGTTTAATAAATGTAATATAATAAAAATGGATTCATAATTAAAAATTAAGATACTTGATCTGCATTTATTCAAGAGCCATCTGCATCTCCTGAGTGCCATGGGATATGCTGTGATATGGGAGATTGTGTCTTTTCTGTCCCTTTGTCTCTCTTGTCTCTATAGAGAATTAAAAATTACTTCTGTCATAAATGTATCTACTTAGTGTTGTATGCTCTGAACCAGGTGACTCCTGCCTTCCATGCTAGTGCCAGCCTTTACTAGAATGCTGCAGTTAAACTGATGCTTTGTGCTATGCATCACTTTCTGTGATTTTATTTGTGGATGTGTGTAACTGTTGAGATGATTTGATATGAAAATGTTAATTGTAACATTAACATAGGATTGGTTACAGTTCTGTTTGGGGTATAGATGATGATCACTGATAAGATGAGGATTTGTACTAACAGAAATGTTAAAACAGTAAATCCAGGTAGAAAGGATGAGCTTTCTGTATTGCCAAAAAGGCAATTTCTTATTTGTTTCTTGGAGGGTTTAAGAAATGTCACAGTACTGTAGCATAGATTCTTATATTCCTATAAAAGTACTTAAATTCTTCAAAGGAATTTAAAAGGAAACACTCTTATGGAGGTGTTAAATGGTATCAAAAGCTCTTTATGAAGTAAGATCATAATGAACATGTTGGATTTTGCAAATGTGGATAAGCATCAGAATATTTCAGTCAGTTGTGTTAGACTGCAATTGTCGAAGCTCTTATTTAGAGCCTTCCCCCCTCCATATAATATTTGGTGTTCAGAGGTTTTACTCTATCAAAACAATTACATTTACACAGTGTCTCCATTGGCTGATTGTCAGCAGATCTGTAACCCCAAATTTGGGGTAGCCTACATTAATACTCATCACTGAGCTGTTTGTTTTGGCTTGGACTGGGCGTTCATTTCTGTGGGCAGAGCTCAGCGCGTTTGTCTGGTTCCCCTGAGCATGATCTCACACTCCAAGTAGGTGTTGGGGACTCAGGAGCCTTCTCTTTGCTGGTGGTGTGAGCTAAGGGCTTCTAAGCTTCCTGTTCAAGAAAATGCAATGAAAAGTAAGGAGCATAAGTTGATGTTAGAATCTGTGTAAGCACAGAAGCTGTAAAAGAGTCAGGTATTATAGGATTGAGCCGTTGCACCCCATCCAAGTTCTCTTCTTTTCTAAGTGTGTTTAGCTGTGCAGCCAAAGCCTTGTGGCCTCGCAGGCCAGTCAAGCCCTGCTGCCTCCTCTGAGCAGTTCCTTCCTTTAAAATACAGATCCCATCTCCTTACTACCGACCTGGAAACTCCCATCCTACCTGCTCCTCCTCAGGCTGAGGGCTGCTCAGCCAGGAAGATGTTTTCAGGAGATGCCTCAGTGGGGATGACCTGGGTAATACTCGGTTAGTGACTTCACTGCCCATCTGTCAGCTGTGTCATTTGCTTTCCTGGTTTGTGCTTGCTGGAACACAACTCACTGTATTCAAAACATAATAAAAGAGGAGTTTTATAATTGACCAAAGGCATATTTTTCTGCCAGCTTGTTTGTAATTCATGCCATTGCTATGACTCACTGAATATGCTGATTTGTGTGCAATGAATTAAAGATGGCTGAACCAGTTGCTACCTCCACGTGTGTGTGCAACCCCCTTCAGGAGAGTGCTGCTTTCACAGTGGGAGTGTCTGTGGCAACTGCCGTAATTTCCATTTTCCAGCTGCTGAGCTAGGTTTAACTGGTGCAGATGTTCATAATCCTTAGCAAGGACTGGCAGTTCAGGAACTCCTCTGTGCATGGTTCAGCCATAGCTGCTTCACAGGACAGCTTCCAGAAGGGTGGGACAGCTTGGCATAGTAACAAATTCCTCTATCCAAATATGCCTGAATTTGAGTCACCCCCAGCAGTTCATGCTGCTTCAAAGGAAGGTAACAGCAGTGTGTGTTGTGTCCTTTAGAATTCTGTTCAGTAAGAATTTATCTGCTTTATAAGAAATAGATGCTTATGAGATGTTTGCTTGCTGATTAGGTTAAATAAATAAATAAGTAATAGGAAGAGAGAGGAAGAAGGGAAAATGCAATTCCAGAAAATTGCCAGTGTCAAAAAAATACCCTTCTCCTTCCCTGTCTCTGGTACAATAATGATAATTTAAGTTTGAGGTAGTGGATGCACTGGCAAAAGTAATTTATAAGACGTCTGATAATTTCTGACTCGTATCACATGAGACTTCATCAGTTAGAATCTTAAATTCTACCCAGAATTTGGTAAGTACCTTAAGCAGACCTTGTAAGCTACAAATTGATGCAGACCTTGTAAGCTACAAATTGATATCCTTTCAGTGACATGGGCTGCCTCTGTCACCATGGCCACTCCTAATATGGTACCAAGGCTTTTCTAAATAGAGTAAAAACTAGCAAATAACAAACCTGTCAGAAATTATAACCTGCTGTTATAATTTCTTTCACACACACATCTGTATAGTTCAACACTTTTATTTTCTCTGTGATTCCCATGTGTAGCAAGCGAAGCTGTGATCTCTGCTAAAGCTGTGATCTCTGCTAATTGTATAGAAACGTGCCTTTTTTCAGTACAATGTAATGCAATATTTTTATTTATGATGCTTTTGTATTTCTTCTCCTCAAATACTGCATAAACTGTCCTCTTCTTTAACAAGACCTAAGGGCTGATACAGGGATGTTCGTTGCTGCTGTGAGAAGTTGCTTTGTTTCTTCCTGTAATTCCATCCTGACTTGGCAATGCAGGCTCAGAGTTATCATTTCATTTGACCTGTAAATCAATCTGTGTAACATGCAAAGTAACCACGAATGCAAAGGAAATGAGGAAAAAGTCATTTGAAAAGCATTTTATGGGGCACATTCCAAGGCTGTATTTATGTGTGTTTTATTCCTTCCATGAGGAAACAGTGAAATATGCAGAATTGTAACACAAATACACAAAGAAACAGGAAAAAGGAAGGATAGAGTGAGAATATTTATATATGTTAATGAAGAATGGAGGGATTTAAGAAGAACCTGATCTCTTAGCTTTGCAGCGAGGAATAAAGATCTGCATCTTCTTTTCCCTTCTGGCCTGGACTTAGAGCATTACATGGGTAAGTTGCTTTGCCTCTGTGTCTTACTCCTCTGACTTAGCAAGGAATGTGAAGAATGTTGTGTTACCATAACAATTTATGTCTTATATTGCATTTGTTGTTGTATCAATATTGTGTTGGTAAACTTTTTAAAGGATGACTTCATGCCTTAGAAATGTTTGATGTATCCTAATGTTTAGCATTTGCTTATATGAAAAATATTCTGAAGTTTCCTTTCCCAAATTCAGATCCCATGATTTGTATTTCTGACTAAAAATTCTAAGCCTAGATAGACATAATTAGAGGAGAGCTCTTTTCTTTTTCTCTTCCATTAACATTGCAAGACCTGATATAAATGCTTTTTAACATCTTCTGTCTTCTCTCACATATAGGGTGAATATCTTACTGTTGTCACTTCCCTTCTGTCAGCACCCTGTTGTTTTAGATGTCCTTGTTATGAAGGTGGTTGTTTTTGTAGTCACCAAGAGATACGTTCCCTTAGTCAAAAGTATTTGCACCCTACAATAGGTCTGCCCAGACCTCTCTGGGTCTGCAGGGGGGATCAGTGCTCTGTACCCTGTCCAAACGAGTCTCACCACTCTGAGTTCACAGACTGTGTCAGTACCTCTGATGGGGCATCTGCATGTGAACAAAAGCACAAGCAGGTGCTCAAACACACAGCAAGCTTGGGCAGCTCTACTAATTTAGGGGTTAGATACAGAAATTTTTAATAAGTCAGATGAAGAGGGGGTATTTTTTGTATGGCAGGTATTTCAGCAAAACCCTGTCCTTGAGTACGTTTAAGAGAGAGCTTAGTCTCTTCTGACTTTCTGCTATTCCTCTGCCCTTAGGCACTCCAGAACATCCCATCCTGCCTGTGACTCACACCAAATATCCAGCTGTCATCTTAACTCATGCCTCTGTTGCTTCATGCTCTGATTATTTTGTTAGAGGCTCTTTTCTGCATAGGATCTTCCACACTTGAAAACCTTTCTTCAGGTTACCCCACAGCTGGAGCACAGCTCCTTTTCTGTGTCCTGGGAGTGCAGAGCTGTGAAGTTCACAGGACCTGCTGAGTGACCAGGACATAGACCTGGTCTCACACACCTGCCTTCTGGGCCATGGTTTGAAACCCCTCTGGGGTCCAGTGTTCAGAATCAGCACCGGGATCAGGCTTTGTATGCTGGGGATGGAGATTGTCTTGTCTGTCTTATGCCAAATCCTATTTACTCAATTCAGCCTTGGGTCTGGCAGCATGTGATTTGAAATGAACTTGTGTAAGCATACTGGGTTCCTCTATGAAACAGTGCAATTACATTTCAACATTGCTTTACAGTCGGAATGTGAGCAACGTTCTGATAAGCCAACACACTTCAGGAATGTAGACCTCCTCCATGTAAATAAATGGACAAACTCCCTGACACCTTCCTATTGTGTTTTATAGTCATCTGCTACAAGTACTGGATGTTTTGTTAGTTTCTATGTGCCTCCATGAATGGTCATAGAAGAAAAAGTAGAAAAAGGCAGTATAGAGTTGTGATTCAAGACCAAAAGCAAGCTCCAATATTAATGCAGCAGCTTTTCTTCTTGTAATTTTAGCTTCTGTTTCTTTCAGAAATATTTAGCAGGATGCATTGAATAAAGTATGACCATCCCTCTTTACTAAAGGTAAGAGAATAAGCATAACAGAAGAGGTACAAAATACCAGTTCTGAAAACTCCTCTGAGATGTCCCCTTCTTGCCAAGGTAGAAACCAAAGCCAAGTTAAAATGCTCTTTGTTAAATTTCACTGAAGAGTGAGGGATTGATAACCTTAGAATAAGCTGACAAGCTGCTTTTTGTGAATTGTGAGAGAGTTCTGGAATAATTCAGGGATAGAATGGGCACTTTATTTCTTGCATTAAATGGTAAAAGCTGTCAGTGCTGTGGACAGCTCAAAACAGACAGTTTTGTGTTCTTGGGGATTTTACTTTGAGCTGAGCTTGTCACTCACTCAGCAATCCAAGAAGTGCAGATTAATCTGACAGGTTCAATATTTTGGTTCTAATGCCAACGATAGGGACTTTAGAACATACATGTTATACGAAAATATATTTGCCTAGGTGTCAGTTTGAATTCTTGTCAGCACATGAACATGAAATTACATTTAAATTGCAATTGGTTACCTATGAACTTGAGATATTTCTAACATGCAAACATTCAAAATGGTAGTAATTTATATTTAGATGTGGGAGTGTTTCTTTAGCATCTTAACTACTGTTTTGAGACTTAGACACACCCATTTAAAAATGTTGGCTTTGATTTCTCATTGTTTAATTTGCAAAAGCATGTGTGTTTTAAAAGTGCTTTAAAATCTTAGTATAGAGCACATATATAATATTAATCATTTCATTAATTCATCATTAATTTTAAATATGTTCTTTAACAATACATCACCTTTTCCTGTTCTCTTGTGCACAAGGTAGTTTATTACCTTCATTCCTCCTGGAAGACAGAGAACAACCCTTGTACCTACAGATAAGCCTCTCTGAAAATACAAAATTTGACTGGGGATGGAGATAAAAAAATCAGGATGAAAGTGCTGAGTAGCATTGCCAAAGAGGAATTTTGTTTCTTCTCTAGTAGTTTATCTACAGAATGATGGTACCAATGGTATATTTGTGTTGTGGGGTGTCTTATACTTTTACTTGGTATGTGAGAGGTCCCATCCTGTTCAGAATGGTCTGATGTGGAGAATTTTTTATTCTTTTATCCTGAAAAGGAACGTAAATTATGTACAAATTAAGCCCTGCCCTTTTTTGGCTCCCAGCCAGCCACCAGCTACGAAGGAGCAGGAACAGCAAAAGGCCTGAGCACACAGGAACTTCTCTGTCTGCCTGAGAGCACCTGATGCCCTTGAGTCAGGAATTGTCCAGCACAGAGACATCTCACCCTCTTACCTGGACAGGAAGGCCTGGGAGAGCACTGACTGCAGGATTCTACCAAGGGTACTTACTACTTCTTTAGCTATTTTAAAAAACCTGATATGTTTGACTTCAACTTTTTATGGGAAGTAATTAGAACATTTCTGATATTTGAAATGACAGTAGGGGAGCTAAGAGCAACTCACACTACATGTGCTGCATGAGATGTTTCTATGTTCATCAGCAGAATACATTAATAAATAAGAATAGCTCCTACAAATTCAGAGAAAAAAGAAAGTTACTGATTCGAAAAAGAAGCATTTTCAAAAAGAAAATTGCTTATGTTCAAAATTTGAAGACAACTTTCTAAATCCATGAAGCAGATCAATATACTAATGCTATTAGTTTTTAAGAAATATTTCTAGAAAACTTTAAACTTTTTAATGCAACCTCCAGCTTACTTAAACCTTAAGGAGATATTAATGACAAATGTTAAAATATACACCATTTCTCAAATATCTTTTTGTAATATATGTGATAAGCTTGACTTTACTTCTCCTTACAGTGTATGAAAAGATGCTTTTTCCTCAGAAGGCAAGGCAAAATAATTTTATATGGCTTAAAACTCCTGCATTTCATACTCTAGAGACACAGATTTATGTTTCCTTGCTTGAACAGGACAGCATACTTGTTTTAGTTGTATTACATTAGATGTAATTTAAATTTTGATTTGGAAACATGGATTATTTTTCGTTTTTGAAATATCAGTATGTTTTTCAACATAAGGAGTTTGTGTTTTACAGTGTTACACCACTCAGTTTGCTGAACTGAGTGAACTGACATTGGTGTTAAAACCATGTAACAGCGTGGAGAATATGGTCCTTTCCTGTGTCTGAAATCTAAAACCCAACATATAAAATAAGAAGAATATTACAAACAAAATTGTAAAATACTAAGTAAGCAATGGCTAAAGTAGTCTATAATTTTGTATGCTGCGGCTGCACTTTGTGTTACTTTTCTAGAATTTTTGTCACCCTGGAAGTGAGAGCTACCAGCTGTGCCCTGTTTATGCCTGAGCTCTGCTGAAGCCTGGAGTACATGGCTGAGAGCAAACTGTACTTAATTGTGAGGCTCCTCTCATATGAGGAGCTCTCCAACTATGAGTAAACCAAAATTACCTGCAGAGATTTGGTCTATATTCCTGTACTAGACTGCAGGCACCCAGCTGGGCTCCCACTTTACGGTGACATGACTGATTGCAGATTTTTTCTGGATTTTTGTTTGGGGGTGTAAGAACCTAGATCCCAATGTGCAAAGGCCAAGCATGAAATCTGGACAACAGAGGCTCTCTGTGTGGGAGAATTAAATTTCTTGGACAAGTGTTTAATGTAGAATAAACTAATTTGCAATACAGAACAAGGTGGACAGATGGGTTAATCCCATGGAGTTATCCTAGAATGATACTCGAATCAGTTTTCCCAACTAGATGAACCCACAGGGCAGATGGCTTATCTCTTCTGCCCCTTGTTGGTTTAGCTGTCTATGAATGCCCTACTGAGAATAATATGGTCAAAAGTTAGTGAGAACTGGACAGAAAACTAAATATATTTAACGTATAACCAGAAAAGCTTAAAATGGTAACAAACTTCTATCATTGCCAAAGACCCAAATGTGAAATAAAGTTGATTTTAAAAGTAGAGCGAATCCTTTCTTATATTTCTTATCTAATGTCTTGGTTTATTTTTCTGACTAGTAGGATAACATCAATTTGGCATTAATATATCAGAAGTTAACGAGTTTTCAAGGATAAAATGTTTGATTAAACCAAGTATTAAAAAATGCCATCATAGCTATTAAGGTTAGGTAATTATAATGACTCTAAAATCCTGTAATATCTCTTCATTTCTTTATAATATGAAATTTAGACATGAGGAAAAGACTAAATCTTGGAATATAAAAGTATTCTGACTCATTAAACATTACACATAAAAAGCTCATCACCAAAATTATTACTTTATACATTTTAAACATATTAAAATGATAAAACTAGTATAGGAGCATTGTAGTGTGAGAATAATTGAAACTACTCAGACCTCAAACCAATATGCAGAAATTTTCAAGAGATCTTCTCTGTTGCAGTCGTGATGCCAGAGGGATCCACGGAAGAGCTCCACAGCAGCCAACCCTGTGAGAGCCAAGTGCCCGAGCCTGCTGGGCTGCTGGCTCCCAGGAGCAGCAGGACAATGGTAACAGGAGGCGGAGGCTACCTGGGATACAATCTGGGATGTGCCCTTGTGAGCTCGGGAATTGCTGTTGTGCTGTTCGATGTTCGGAAGCCTAAATGGGAAATTCCAAGCGGAGCGGATTTTTTCAAGGTGTGTTGGAGTTACATGTCTCATGCTCATTATCAAGGCTTCCTCTTAAGGACCTTTGATTAAAACATTTACAGAAAAGCCTTTCAGGACAAGAAGAAACCGCACTAAAAGGTCCTTGCATGCATAAGTACCTGATTAAGGGATGGCAAACAGGGTCCCAGTGTCTCGGTGTCACCAATGATGCTCTGTTGGGAGGTGACATTCAGTGCCCCAGGGAAAGAGCGAACAGTGAAGGGACAAAGGGTCCTGCTCAGAGGAATTATTTCAAATAAAAAGGTGAGAGGCAAGACAGGGCAATAAAAGGGATCACAAATGCAGAACGACTGCCATGCAGAAAATGATTGAGGAAACTGAGATTTCCAGGCTGGCAAAGAGGTACCTCGGGAGCAGCAGAGCTCTGCAGGCTGTGAGTGGCATTGTTCACTGTCCTTCCAGTATAAGAAGGAAGGGCCATCAGGAATGAGGAGTCAGTTCAATACAAACAAAATTATGTGCTTTTTGTGCAGTGGGTAAAAGACATGCACAAAGCCTCAAGAAAAATTTACCTCCATTGGAAACTGCTGAATAGATAAATTAAATTAGGCTCAAGAAATCTTCTGAATGAAAATTCTTCAAGACTAGAAGAGCATTCTGGGGGAGAGCATCACATTTGCCTTCTCTATTCATGCTCTTCCTGCAGCACCCCTTTATGAGCACTGATTTCTTTTTGATTTTGAACAATTCAAGGAATTACTGTGTCTGGAAAAAGGGGGAACACCAGAGGTATCCAGTATTTGGCAGTTCGCTGCCACGTATGGGGAACACATTCCCGAGTACCTCTCACATGCTCCCAGTGCTTGGATTTGGGCTCTGAGGGCACTTTCTGGGTGCTCCTGTCATGCCACACAAATTCTGGCTAAACCCAGGGCATTGCTCAGCTGATCTTTTCTGAGCATTTAGTGTAAGAGCATTTACCACTGCTGCTAGAACTGGGAAGCTGATGGCAAAGCTGGAAGGGATCACAGGACTTTGGTCCTGCCAGCTGTGATTGTGATGCCAGGTTTTCTCTCCTTTGGGCTACATCACCCTCTGGGGCAGGGGGAAGGGAGGCAGAGAGAGATGGATGATTCTGGGGAGGGCAGAATACCAGGTTAAACCAGAACTTGTCTGACCCAGGATGTTTTTAAGTTCAATTTCATAAACAAGTTTTACAGACTATGGAAGAGGGAAAAAGTATTATTGAGGAACCATTCAAACACCATAAGCTTGATTTGTTAATGCTGTAAGTCCACATAATTTAATTTAAGTTTTTAGACTCATGGCAATTTACATCTTCTAAAGGGGACTCGAGATCTCACAAATGATCTTCTAGAACAGTGTTTTTTAATAAATCAATTAAAACATAATAAATATTACAAAGTGTAGGAGAGTTACCTGGAAAATTGAACTATGGAGTCCTAGTAAATTAATTAATAAGTGACTTCAGAGGTTTGAGCCTTGAGCAGTGATTTGGAGATGGTTAATATTGTTTATACTGCTTAGCTCCTGTTGTATTGCATTGAGTGTGGGAAATGTAAGTCAGCTGTATTTGTGAAATACTTTGGCAACCTTAGGAGAAAAAAGTTGACAGTTAAAGACTGATTAGAATAGCTCTTAATATTACCTTCAGTTGTTTCTTTCAGGATTATTCTATCAATTTCATTACAAGAAATAATACAATATCTAATATTTTGAAATATCTAAATTCTGAAAACAAAAGTACTATATTTTTATTGTTATCTGTGTGTATGGGAGTATTATTAATGTAGTGTTACCTGGTATACAAAAATGCAATGCAATATTCTAACCCAATCATAGGATTTAATACTAGATACAGGTGTGCTCAGTAATACATGGAATTTCATAAATGTGATTATAGTACACTAATGTACAGTAGAAAAAGTATTAAATACATATAGATTGTACTGGGTTTTTTACTCTTGTACAAAACTGTAATTAAAGTTATCATACAGTGCACCAAACAAACCTTAGATGGATAAAAAGACATTTGTGAAGACAGCACAGATCATATCTCAAGGTGCCAACAGAAACAAGGTTTTCTTATTTGGTGATTCCAAGGGAAACAGCTGAACCCTTCCTGCTGTGATTTATTGTTCCTGGGGCTGGATTCTCCAGCCCTCGAGCAGTTGCTGCTCCCATTCAAGTCAAACAAGTTTTGCCAGCCTGGAGGCTGCAGGACTAAGTGTGAAAATATGCATTATAATTGAAGCCAACAAGAGTCATCTTTGTTTTGCAACAAAATACTGGCAAAATTCTTAGTCATTGCTTTTTCTGTCTGTTCATAATATTTTATTTAATTGTTGTTAAGTACTGTGAAAAACAGACCAGAATGCCTTTAGATTTTCCTTACTAGCCTTAGTTAATACAGTTCTGTAGAGAATGTAAGGAGTTCTACCTATCAAAAATCCATTCTTTTCTCACTTTACAGGGTGATGTGAGGGATTATGAAGCAGTGTTCAAAGCATGTGAAGGGGTTGACTGTGTTTTCCATGTAGCTGCATGTGGAATGTCAGGATTGGAACAAGCAAGTACCGTTTTGGTTATTTTTGAGAAAGAAAAGAATTGTCTGCACATAACAAAGAATGTAATTTTACAATATTTATGTCACACAGAAGTTGTTACACAGGCCAAGTCATCCATACAGGAAATAAGGGAGGTATTCTTTGAATAATAAAGTCAAAGTGTGAAAGTAATGTACTACAAAATATTCTAGAAAAATGAGATCATATTTTTAACATCTTGGATAAGAAGGTATAGCCTTTTCCTCTGATCTGAAGAAGAGTGACAGCATTGCTCTAAAACTAATACTGATGCATTTTCTTCTTGTGAACTCAGTTATGAGGAAACAGACCACAATCAATATGTTATGCAGAATAACAATGACAGTCACAGAAGGTATTATCAAAAAAGTCATGAACCTACTAATTTTATTTCTACGAACAGGACAGATTGCCACTGGAACAAGAATTTGTGAAAGCTTTCAGGGAGCATAACCCCTGCCCATAATTCTTGTCTCTATATCATGGAATATCTGGGGTATGACAAAATATTGAAGTATTATTATTTCCTTTTTTATCTTTCATTTTTCAACTGTCTTTGCTCATACACTGAACAAGACAATAAAAATGAGAACTGACAGAAATCACTGTATGTCAGATAGACAGAACTGTAACACATCTAAAAAGACCTCAGCTATTCTAGATCTGGCAGTTGTAACCATCATACTGTAAATGTGACTTGTTTGATTAATTAAATCTTGTGCAAACTCTATTTCTAGCTTCAAAAGAAAGATCAGATTGAATCCATAAATGTTGGAGGCACAAAAATAATAATTGATGGTAGGTACCTAGATTTTCTTTTTCTGCATCTGATCCAAATCATGAATTAAAAAACTTTCTAACTGGATGTTTCCTGTGGAGATCAGGCAGTAAAAGGAGGTTCTTCTCTCCCTCCTGTCAGAGTATGATGTAAACCTGAGTGTGCAGGTCCCTTTAAAGCTGGTAGATTTGCCACTGGTTTAAACTGGGCATAGATTTTCAACCTGGACTTCATTCCTTGGCAGTCCAACTAAAGCTCTCCTCCATGTACTAGTTTTTTTTCCCTTTACTCTATGTAATGGAGAAGTGTTGCCCTCCTTCCTTGTAGAAATAACATGAGACCTGTTGTACTGTTTGTTGTGTCATAAATATTTGGTAACAGGCGCTATAGATGTGTATTTAGCTATTATTTTATCACATTAATGCAGAAAATCTTCCATCCTTTCTGCTTACTTACCTTTTTCATTTTTTTTCTTCTTACTTATCTTACTTACCCTTTTTATTATACATTGCTTTTTAATTACTGTCTCTGGAAGATGCCAGTAGATCTCTTTCAGTATATTCAATTCCAAAAAGAACATTTTCCGAGTGTACTGTAAATACAAAGCTTCCTCCCCTTTGTGTTTCCCTCAAAAATCAAATAGGAAAAAAAAGGCAGCAAAATGGCAAAACCAGTTTTTATTTAGACTAATTGTCATGCTGCCTGTGTGTTATTACTGAAGAGATGCAGAAATGGAATAGTAGGCAAGGAAAACTCTAAATGAGTTAGAAGGAAGAGTTGCCACATATTCCCCTCTTCCTTCCCCAACCTCCAAACCCACTGAATCATGTCATGTCAAATTTCCATAGGCTCCCAGTACACCATGATGCTGGGAGGAGCATGAACATGCTCATCTACATTTTAATAATACACCTTAATATTATATTTTCCCCCAAATATTTATAACAATAATTAACATTTATTATTTTCAAAATGAGCCAATGAACCAGCAGGACAGACTGCTTCATAGATTCTAAAAATTCCTGTGTTTGCATTTTAATTCACTTCAACTTTAGGAATATTGTTAAATGAAAAGGAAATTTATATTATTCAAGTTTGTAATGACAGACATGCAGCAGAATTTAGCTACAATGTCTTAGCTACACAAGACTGGAATCCATAATTAAGTCTTTGTTTTGCAAATAACATTAATTTCCTTTGTACTTAAAGCAGGGCTGATTATACACTAGCAGGGTATGCTTTCCTGTTAACACATCATTTGTCACTGATGAACAGACTGAAACAAAGACAGTTTTATGGCACGTGGGCAGAGCTGGCCTGTGCTCCTGTGTGACTTCATGTTCCATTGAAGTGGGGTGCAAGAGGCAGCTCATGGAACCCAGTGGCCTTGCAGTGGTGCTCCCCACAGCACTGTCCCAAGGGCTGTACCACAACCAATGTTCTTACTCATCTCCTTTGTATTCAATTTGTAAAGTGAACATGTTTTAAGAAAGATTTCTCAAGGAGGACTTTTTCCCCCACCAAGATAATTCCACTACCCAGTTGATGATTGCAATCCAGTGATATGATAGTTACAGGTACCTCATCATGAAACATTTGGTGGGCACAATGTGTAATATTCACATATTTGGGATGAAAAATAACAGCTGAATGGAAGATATTATTACATTAAATGATAAGGTAACATTAAAATTAAAATATTACCTTCTTTTCTATAATTGTAATGTTTGTTTTCAAAAAGAAAATCTGCCAGTTCATTTATTTCTCCCTCTTTATTTTTGTTTTGAAATAATATATTTTGTGTATCACTATAGTCTGCAAACAAAGAAATATCCCTAGACTGATATATACCAGTACAGTGAATGTGGTGTTTGGAGGGAATCCTATTGAAGAAGGAGATGAAGAAACTGTACCGTATTTTCCACTGGAAAAGGTATTTTGTCCATGGGATGGTGTGGCATTTACTGTGCTCTAAAGGGTAGATTGTGTGAAGGCTGTTCTGAGAGCAGAAGTTGTTTTACTGTAGATGTTCTCAGTACATTCAGCACAAAAAGTGAGTTAAGTAAATACAAATGGACTTAAGTTCACTCTGAAGCTAAACTTGTGCTACTAAAGTGTAAGTCTGGTTTTTGTCATAAACAAACTATATGTTTATTAAATCTTACTGTTTCTAGTTTTATCTAGTTTTTATCTGTGAGCTGGCTAGATTCAAATGTTGTCAGTCATAAACAGTAAGTTTACGTTTACAGATTCAATAATTATCTTATTCTGCTTCCTTATAGCAATTTAATCATTATTCCAGAACCAAGGCAATTGCAGACCAAATGGTTCTTGCTGCTAATGGAACTTTACTCAAAGGTACATATAAAGCATTTGGGGCTTTTCTATCATTAGGAGTGCTAATGCAGATTCCCTTCTCTGGTCCCTCATTTATCAATAGTACACTTTAACTGAAATAAGGATTTATTTGTTTCTATTCCTTTTTTCAGTGGATAATTAGCTGTTCTGATAATACCAATTTGTAAGCACTGTCCAATGGGTTCTTGTAACCCCAAGAAGGTTTTTCAGGCTGCTAAGCCCAGGTCTGCCACTGCTGCTTAATTCAGTTTCACACAGAAATGAAATCAAGTTCCCATGAAGCTGAGCCACACAGAATGGTCAAAATGAGTCTTAATTTTGACAGTGTAAAATTCAGACAATATTTGTCAGCTGTCTGACAGTCACCTGTTGCTCTCTCTCCAAGGAGGGGACAAGCTCCACACGTGTGTGCTTCGCCCGCCGGGCATCTACGGACCAGAAGAGCAGCGGCACCTGCCTCGAGTAGCCGTATGTGTTTTGTAGTCAGCTCTGGAGGACACCACAAGTAGTTGTAAGGGCATAACACAAGTGGTAGTACCTTGATTGCAGTTCTTAACCATTCCTGCAGGAATGTGGTGAAAGCTTGGGGCCAGGTGATGTGGTGCAGGGTAACAAATAGCAGGAAACCAGCACTGCGGGCCAGGATCAAGCTGGGCTTCTCAGTGAAAAGTGGAAGGCTGAAATGCCATGGTAAAAGAACTAGGTTTGATCCCTATCATTTAATGGAAATATTGTATTTTAAATATGAACTTTAGTTTATGCCAAATAACATGATGTCACTATATCTAGCCACTGCCTATCAGTGCAACCATCTTTGATTTCCAAAACCACCCACTAGTTGGGTTCCTTCTTGTGACACATTTCTTGTGCTGTAATTGTACACAAATACAGAAACATCCAAGTAATTGGGTTGAGACAAAATCAATATTATAGTACAAAATAAAGGAATAATGTAGTTATCTCATGTTTTCTGTTTCTACAGATAAATATCCAGCGGAGACTTTTTAACTTCAAGTTTGGGAATCACAAAGTTCAGATGAACTGGGTTCACATAGGAAATCTAGTGCAAGCTCATTTACTGGCTGCTGAGGCTCTCACCTCTGAGAAGGGCTATGTAGCTGTAAGTAAACAATATAATCATTGTGTTCCAGTAGCTTGAGTTCTCAAACAGGTTTAATTTTTTGATGTTTTGAGATCCAAGATTGTCCAAAAATTCATATGCTAAATTCTCAAAAACAGTGTGTAGCTCCACAAGTATACAGGCAGTGCAAATGCAAATACATTCCACTCATATTTTGATGTTTTTTTGTTTGGTTTGAAAATACAAAATTTCCTGGGTTACTGGAGGAAACTGTATTTTTAATTACCTTAATATATTCACTATTACACAAATACCTATATATCCTGTTATTCTCTTGAAAATAGGTTCTGACTATTGATGCATAACATTTAAAGCAACCATTCTGAGGCATTCCAGTTGAATTTTCAGAGCTGAAAATTCCAAAAAAGATATTTACAATATTAGTGGACAATTTTTAAAGGTTTTTCTTTCTGTTCTACCAGTCATAAATGCAGTAGCAGTCTGAGGACTGTGATGCATTACAGAACTGACAATGTCACAGCAGTTTCTGCATTCACAGTTCCTGAAGGTCCCAGATTCATTTAGATTGGTAGGAGCATACAACCAATTGGTAGGAGACAACAAGTGAACATCCCGCCATGTGTTCTCCATTAGTTCAGTGCTTGGAAGCCACAAAACTGTTTTAGATTTATGTAATTTCCAGAGTCCCAGGTTTGCTTGGGTGCTCAGGTGTTCCTGGTACTCAGAGCTGGGCAGACTCCTCATCCAGAGCACAGCTGGAATTCGACCTCAGAGCTGTGTTTGTTAAATGCCATCAGTGCTGCCCCTTCCATTGAACTCACAAAGGTTATTCTATGCCCAGCACATCATGATTCTTCACATAATGATCCAACAGCTGGGCTACTACATGGGAAAACTGAGCTCTGATCTACACTACAAAATTGTTAATCATCATGAGCTCTACCACCACTGTGGGGTTACCACAGTGAAGGCAATTTCTTCTGTGTACATTCTGTGTACATGCGCATGCTGCCATGTTGTTCACAAAATCATGACAGCCAGGTAGGTATGAGACAGAAAATGCCATCCTGTGCACAGTTTTGTCACTGTTTTTCTCTGCTTCTTTACCAGAGTGGTCAGGCTTATTACATCCATGATGGTGAGAATGTCATCTTCTCTGAGTGGATTGTGCCTTTGGTACGTACTGCACAGCCCTGCAGATCCCAACACTGCATGGGCACAAGTCTTGTCATTGACTGACACACCAGCCCAACAAAATGAAGTTCAGTGCACATAAATTACTGAATTATTTAACATTAAACTCAGCCCTGCTTCTCCTGCTTTCTAAAATTCCACTGGTGTTCAGGGAAGTTTTGGACACGTGTAACTGTGCAGTTTGGCGTTCTTGCTTTGAGAGGATTTAGTTGGGAGGTCCAGAACCTGCTGCAGGACAGAGCATTTCATGAAGCAAACCCACAGTGAATGGCAAGTTCTGCCACTGGCATCTGGCAGGACTCTTACAGTTGTTGCTTACCCCTTTGTCCTGGCATCAGCTGCAGCACAGAGGGGAAGCCCACGCAGAATCTTGCCTTAGAAGCTAAAAAGAGACAACATTATATTTTCAGAAATATCAGGCTGGGATTCTAGGAGCATGCCAAAGCTTTGATCCCGCAATACCATCACAGAAAATGACTGCAGCAGAAAACTGGGACTGTATTTAAGTGTAGTTCAGTATTCCAGTCTGAGTAATTTCCCCCTTAGAAATGGCCTTTTATTCCCCTTTATTGTCCAATTGCAGATGAAGGGTGGGAGATGGGCACCAAAGAATAAGTAGTGGGCTTCAATTACTTACTACCTTTTTACACAGGAACACTAGCTGGAAAAAATAGTTTAGATACAAGTTTTATCAATGTTCTTTAATTTTTTTCCATTTTCATGCCTCATTGACACCCTCAATTTCTCTATGATTCTTTCTTTTTATACCCTTTTTAGTTTGAAAAATTAGGCTACAGGAAACCTTGGATACATATTCCTGTTCTCCTGGCTCATATAGCAGGTAAAAAAAAAATACATTCTTAATTATTGTGGGTTGTTTGATTTCTTTATTCCTATGAAGCTACATAGTGGCTTTACAAAATACAGGGGCCCAAATTGGAGGAATTATTTAACTTAACGTTATTTTAATTGAGTATAATCACTTGTGCCATGTGGTATTAATTATACCAGATAAAGTTTAAAGGCTATTCATAAACTCATCATGTACTTTATAAATTAAACAGTGCCTTCTACCAGTAGGAATTACAGGATGTACAATGTCAGCATTGTCTCAGTTTATTGTTATCCAGATGTCTCATTAAGTAATTTCTGTTTCACAGCCACTGTGATGGAATATCTGCACCTGATACTAAAGCCAGTTTTTAGCTTCACACCTTTCTTGACAAGGAATGAGGTAAATATATAAAAAAATATAATGTTTATATATTTCTGACTCAAATGCTCATTAAGGATGTGATACACCCTTTGGATTGTCTGCATTGCAGCTCTGTTTCCTGTTCTGTTTCCATTGTAGCATCAATGTTGATATATTTTTATCCAAATTCTAGAAAATTGGATATTAAAGTCACTGCTATAACTGTCCTTTTGGCTTTTAGGTGTGGAATGTCACTGTAACTCACACTTTCCGAATAGACAAGGCACGAAACCAACTCGGTTACAAACCAAAGAAATTCTCATTTGCTGATTCTGTGGATCATTATCTAAAAACAAGACCTACCTACCAAGAAGATCACACATTCCTTAAAATGGTGTTTGTCTTTGGCATTTTGTTAAGTTTGATCATTCTTTCTTTCTTCTAAAATCAAATAGCCACTCACCTGTTCCAGAAAACCTCATTTTGTTTCTGAGTATTAATTATCTGGTCATAGTACATTCCTCAGCCACTCTGGGCTTTGTTACTCATATTACTATGATGACACCTCTCTGACCTCATTAAGAAAGGAAAAAAACTCAGAGAAAAACAACTAGAAAAGTGAAAACATAGGATGTATAAGGAAATGTTCCCCAAGAGCAACACAGTGTTACAGTAAAGGAATTCCCCACAAATGGGTGCAGGAATAGTTTTAATGGATCTCCATTAAGTGATTTTTTTCATGCTGGGAAGCATTTTCTAAAAATGATAATTTTGGAGGGTGAGAAGGTGGAAGAAGAGGAACTGTCACAGGACAACAGTGCTGTAACAAGTTCAGCAGCTCCAGTGAAGGAAATGGTGACTAAACAACTCTTCTGATGAAGCCATGGCTACAGCTACTGTCAGTTAGCCTGAAGAATTACAGAGACCTGGGAAACAGTGCAAAAAATATGAGAAGTAAATATTTATAAATAATAGGTGATTTAGAGGAATGAAAATCATATTTATGTAAAATAGTTTTATTGCTCTAAAACTTTGTAAAAATGTAATAAATATAATTATGTGTGTTTGTAAATCAAATAATATCCTTTCAATGCAATAATAAATAATAACTGAACCAAATACTGTTTTAAAGGAGCTTGTGGGGAGGTGGAATTCAGCCAGCTGTTACTGCTCCCTAGAGTCACATTGTCCACAATCCTGTAGCAGTGCTGGCACACACTGTGTGTTCAGGGAATTGCATTTTGGGGTGAGCAGAGAAGTCAAGCACCAAGACAGGAGTGAGAATCCAACCTCTCTCTTTTCTCCTTTCTTAAGTCTTACATCAGTTGCTTCTTGGGTGGCTTGCACTAAGTGAGCCACCTGTGCAATGTGTACACACCAGGTGTAGCCCAAACAAACCTTGAAGGTGTTATGAGTTTTTTCTTAGGAACCAGCTTTTCTCTGACCAGGGAGCAGTTTCTCCCTCTCTTGCACCCCACGTGAACCAGGAGAGTTGGATTTGCCATGGTGGGTCATGGAAGACAGTGCTGGAAAAGCTCTGCTACCTGACTATCTCCATTCTGTGTTCCTCTTGCCTTTTGTTAGCATTTTACATGATTTTTAAGACCAGTAAGTTTATGAGATTCTCTCACTCTATAGGATATGCAGGGGAGCCAAGAGCAAGCCTAGAACAATAAAGCTTACAGGTAAAAGACAATACACAGTGACAGGAAAATATATGAACAGCCACAATTACCACTGCAGCTTGTTTAAGCAAAACTTTATTTTACTCTATTTTTTTTTTTCTTCACTAACAGTTCTGTGTACAGTGAAAGCAGTAGAGTCTGCTTGATTATGGATTTGCATTTGGAGATTGTCCTTGTCCATACAAAGTGAGCTCCCATTTACACCTTCCTTTAGCAGGAGCACTTCTCAGCCCTCTCTCTTATTCCTGGCAATCGACAGGAAGCTTAAAGAAGCTCTGTATATATGAGATCTTTATCCAGGTTTGATTAAAACCAGTTAATTCACAATTTATCACTACAGAGCTGCAGCTGAGCCAGCAAGTGCTGCAGGCAGGCAGTACTGTGGAAGCCTCTACTCCTTAGAAATGCAGAATAGAAAACCACAAGTGTAAAGTTACTTCCAAGCGAAAGCATTTTAGCTGCATGCAAACATTCAATTTCATTCTAAATTAGTTATTTATAAATCTTTCATATCACTTTTATTGGACTAATAGCTCAGGATGCATCCTGGATTGCACCAACACTTTTCACAAGAGTGCAAGCTGTGGCCTCATGTGGATGCTCCTCAGTAAGGACTAACCAAGGAATTCATTGGCTTTGTGGTTGTAAGTCCCCATGGAGTCCCATCATTTCAGTCCTGTAACACCAAACCTGTGGTTTGTTATTTTGGGTAGGATGTTTTTTTACATCACTGTTATAGCAGCACTGATTAACAATAACTGGCTTCAGTACATTGATTTATCTTTCTTACAGATGTAGTATTTGGGATTTTAAAACAATCCTCAGTACCAGCTGGGAATAGCCAGCTCTCTTATTTCTGTGTCTGAGTCTTGGCTTAAGCTGGCTCTTGTTTGAGTTACTCCTACTCTAACATAACTGCAGTAGGTCTTAAAGTGATTAAAATTTAATATGAATGTTCAGACATAGCACAGCTGTAACAAAAGAGGTAAATGTGTTCAAAGCTTTAACTTTTGCCTGGAATGGTAACTAAAGTTCTGCAGCTCCTGACCCTTTTCACATCCTCCCAGGCTCAAATGACCACAGGGAGGCTCAGGTGGAAAGGGACCTTAGTGCTCATTTGTTTATTTGTGCCTCTTTGGGAACTCCTGCTGTTTTGCAGGTGTCTTAGAAGTTCTGCATGCCTATGAGCCATGAGTCGGTGCAGTCCCACCGCCGACTGTCCAACCAGTAGGCAGGAGGTGGTGTTTTTTTCCTGAACAACCTGTTCAACAGGTACCTCCGTGTGGCCGGAGCCCTCACTACTGACAGCATGCTTTTGTGCAGCACTCACAGCTGTGTGAAGACACTTGGAGGTAAGAACCATAGGATGCTCTGGGATCCCAGGGATGCTCTGGCAACCCAGGAATACCAGGACATGCCGTGGGATCCCTAGGATGGTGTGGGCTACAGGGATGCTGTGTGATAAGCAGAATCCCAGGGATGCTGTGGGACGAGCAATATCTCAGCTGTGCAATCCCAAATCTGCTGCCAGATTAGTGGGACCTACGGGTGCTGCGGGAGCCTGGGAGTGCGGTGGGATGTCAGAGATGCTGCGGGGCCCCGGCGGGGCTGCTGCAGACGCTGTTGG